TCCCAGGTTTCAAGTATTCTTTGTTGCCTCAGCCTCCCAAGTTAGCTGAGACTCAGGCATGTACCACCCTGCCTGGCTAATTTTTGTACTTTTAGTAGAGACAAGGTTTTGCCCTGTTGGCCAGGCTGGTCTCAAACTCCTGGCCTCAAGTGAGCTGCCTGCCTCAGCCTCCCAAAGTGTTGGGTTTACAGGCATGAGCCACAGTGCCCTGCCTATTTTTAAGAGATTTAAATTTAAAAATTGTATATACCCAAGTAGTTGCTACATCCAGTCTTTCCTTTCTGTAGACACATATTTTTAACTGGTATCATTTTCTTTCTGCATAAAGAAATTTTTTTACATTTCTTTTACTGTAAGCCTGATTAATTCTTCCAGCTCTTCTATGTCTAAAAAAATCTATTTTTTCCTTCACTTAAAAAAAAATATTTTTGCTGGGCCGGGTGCAGTGGCTCACGCCTGTAATCCCGGCACTTTGGGAGGCTGAGGTGGGTGGATCATGAGGTTAGGAGATTGAGACCATCCTGGCTAACACAGTGAAACCCTGTCTCTACTAAAAATACAAAAAAAATTAGCTGGGCCTGGTGGTGGGCACCTGTAGTCCCAGCTACTTGGGAGGCTGAGGCAGGAGAATGGCGTGAACCTGGGAGGCAGAGCTTGCAGTGAGCTGAGATTGCGCCACTGTACTCTAGCCTGGGCAACAGAGCGAGACTCCGTCTCAAAAAAAAAAGGCAAAATTTTGTTGGTTTTGGATTTTTTTGTTGCTTTTTTTTTTTGTATTTTAAGGATGGTGCTCCTCTGTTTTCTTGCCTTTTCATTACCAGTGATAAAACTGCTGTCACCTTATGTTTTATTCTCTGTACATAACATGGCTTTGTTTTCTGGCTGTTTTTAGGGTTTTCTCTATCACTGGTTCCTCTCTCTCTCTCTCTGGAATCTCACTCTGTCACCCAGGATGGAGTACGGTGGTGCCACTTTGGCTCACTGTAACCTCCACTTCCTGAGCTCAAGTGATCCTCCCACCTTAGCCTCCCAAGTGGCTGGGACCACAGTCACACACCACCACGAATGGCTAATCTGTCACTGGTTTTGATCAATTTGGTTATAATATGCCTTGGTGTGTTTTTCTTCATGTTTCTTGCACTTGTAGTTCTTTGAGTTCCTTGGGTCCATAGGTTTATTGTTTTCATAAAGTTTGGGGAAATTTTGGCAATTATTTCTTCAGTATTTTTTCCTCCTTCCTCTGTCTCCTCTTATTTAGTGATTCCAATCACATGTATATTAGGTTGCTTGAAGTTGTCCCACAGTTCATTCATGCTCTGTTCTTTTTCTGTTTTATTCCGCTCTGTGTTTCATTTTTGACAGTTGCTATTGCTATGTCTTCAAGTTCACTAATCTTTTCTTCTACCATATCTAATCTGTTGTTAATCTCATCCAATAAAGATCCAATAAAGTTTTATATCAGCCATTGTGGTTTTCATATCTTTTTTGTTGTTGTTGTTGTTGTTGAGATGGAGTCTCACTCTGTGGCCCAAGCTGGAGTGCAGTGGTGTGATTATGGCTCACTGCAACCTCCACCTCTCGCGTTCAAGTGATTCTCCTGCTTTAGCCTCCCAAGTAGCTGGAACTATAGGCATGTGCCACCACACCAGCTACGTTTTGTATTTTTTTTTTTTTTTTTTTTTTTTTAGTAGAGACAGGGTTTCACTGTGTTGGCCAGGCTGATGTTGAACTTCTGACCTCAAGTGATCTGCTTGCCTTGGCTTCCCAAAGTGCTGGGATTACAGGCGTGAGCGACTGCATCTTGGATCGCTTTTATTTTTCCAAGTGTCTACATAATGTTTAATTGTTAGCTTCATAGAAATGTATTCTAGGCAATAACATTGTAACTTTTAATGCCTTTGTTGTTTCTGCTATTTGTGTCAGTTTAGAGTAGGTTTTGGTGGATTACATCTTCTCTTTATTGTGGATATATTTTCCTCCTTCTATGAAAACATAATTTTTTGTTCAGTGCCAGACATTGTGAATTTTACTTTGTTGGGTGCAGATATTTTTGTATTCCTATAGATACTCGAGTTTTGTTCTGGGATACAGTTGACTTAATTGGGAATAGTTCTGTTAGGTCTTGTTTTTAAGATTTGTTAGGTTGTACCAAAGCAGTGTTTAGGGCTAATTGTGCACCACTCCTAAAGGAAGACTATTCTCAATACTCTACCCAATGCCCCAAGAATTGTGGCATTTTTCACCCTTGGTTGGTAGAAATGGGCACTATTCCTTGCCCTTGGTGAGCTCTGGCTACTGTTTCCTTTAATGCTTTTTGTTGATTCTTATTCCCTGGCCTTGGGCTTTGGGTAGTTTCATCACATGTGTACATTGGTCAGTGTGGGACTGAATTCTTTTTGTTGTTGTTGTTGTTTTGGAGATAGAGTCTCACTATGTTGCCTAGGCTGGTCTCAAACTCTTGGGCTCAAGTGATCCTCCTGCTTTGGTCTCCCAAATTGCTGGGATTACAGGCATGAGCCACCACGCCTGGCCTGTAATTAATTCTTGAGGGGCACCCTCCACAGATCTCTGGCGTTCTCTTTGTGGCGTTCTCTCTGCTCTAGTGCTCTTGCCAGATAACTCCGGCTGCCTTGGTCTTCCCAGACTTTCAGCCCCATCTCTTCATCTCAGACAGTCCGTCAGGCTCCAGCTTGGTTCCCCCTACCTGTACCAGGGCAGGCTGGAAGGAGCACATCTGAAAGCTGTATTTCAGAATGATGGAGATGACCTGAGCTAGTCCTTGCTGAATATGTTAAGCAGTGAGTGGTGAATAGGGGGTTTTAATTTGCTGCTTCTGGCCTTGCTACCAACCCACAGATCAATGAGGAAGTTTCTCTTCATGACTGAATGTCCTCACCAGTAAAATGAGTGGGTCTTGATACTGATTAACTGCTGTCTTCTATCAATCGCCAGAAATGGTTTCTCTGGAAAGGCTCTAGGGTAAGCAAGTGACAGCATGGCACAGTACAAGAAGATTTGCCCCCTTGCTTCAAATTGATTTTTTTGTAGAGCGGAGGGAGCAGGGAGCTAGGCCTCTATTCTCATGATTTGGTGATGACTCACCAAGCTGTGTGTAAAGGAGAACTGATTGATAAGTAGTCTAGGACTCTGCTTCTCAAAATGTGGTCCCTAGACTAGCAGCACTGGCATCACCTGGGAGTTTCTTTAAACTGCAGATTGTCAAGCTCCATTCTAGGTCTGTCATCAGAATCTGCACTGTGACAAGAACCCTAGCTGAGTCTTACACGCTTTAATTAAGTTTGAGGGAGCACTGTTCTAAGCGTGAATGGTTTCATATGCCCTCTAGTGGCTGTCCAGCAACTTGCAGGGAGCTTTAAAATGTTTTCTCATTTTAGGACCTTTGCACAGAACTGCCGAAACATTGAACATTTAAACCTCAATGGATGCACAAAAATCACTGACAGGTAAATAATGAGGATTAATTGGTGACCAAATAGCCACAGGGAGAGAGAAGGGAAAGAAACATGGTTGAAAATATCTTTAGTGCGTCTGCTCTTTTTCAGCACGTGTTATAGCCTTAGCAGATTCTGTTCCAAGCTGAAACATCTGGATCTGACCTCCTGTGTGTCTGTTACAAACAGCTCCTTGAAGGGGATCAGGTAAGAGTGCCCATTGTTTGTGTCAAGAGAATACCCAAAACTATGAACATTCTGGAAGCCTTCCTAATGGTCACATTGGATCCAGCAAGAAATAGGTGTCTCCAAGAGGTCCCAGGCATGGGTCTCCCCTTCTGAATTTCTGGTGATGAAACTCAGAGTTATTAAACTCAGAGTTATTTATCTGGTGAGGTACTAAACTCAGAGTCGGTCGTTAACTCTCTACAGGAGAGACTGCACATAGTTTTTGTTTCTTGTTCTCTCAGTGAGGGCTGCCGAAACCTGGAGTACCTGAACCTCTCTTGGTGTGATCAGATCACGAAGGATGGCATCGAGGCACTGGTGCGGGGTTGTCGAGGCCTGAAAGCCCTGCTCCTGAGGGGCTGCACACAGGTACCAGAGGGTTGATACAGCTGTTCGTGTTATGTGTCAGGTGTGGGCACATCATCCAGGGAGCTGCTTTTGCATTTTTCTTGGTGTCCCACTGTTCCCTCACCTGGATTCCAGCTGTCAAATTTTGTTTTCTCTGTCCACTCAGTTAGAAGATGAAGCTCTGAAACACATTCAGAATTACTGCCATGAGCTTGTGAGCCTCAACTTGCAGTCCTGCTCAGTAAGTAGCACGCCTTTCCTGAACACCGTTGGCTCTATGTTGTCTCCCAAAGCAATCTGCCCCCCGGGCAGCTGAGATGGGCTGTGTTGCCACACCCCGATTTTCATCCTGTGTCCTTATAGAACCTACCAATTTGTCACAAGATGGAAGAACAACAACAAAAAGGACTCATACGCAGTACAAAGCCACCGGCATCGCCCCTAAAAATAATTAGACCAAGTCTTGATTTTGTTGAATAGAGTATTAGGGACACTATTGAGGAATGCCGTGAATTGGTCACTAAATAGTTATAAGACATGAAGTGTCTTTTTTTTTTTTAACTTATAAATTGAGGATGATGACTCCTCTCACGTTGTTTCAGTGGATAATACGAAATAACACATGCAAAAATGCTTTAAAGAATAAAACGCATAGGCAAGAGCAAGGTGGCATTTTCATCCGGACATTAGCCTGTGGAAAACTATTGGTCCTTCTCCACTGCCATTGTAAACGTTGATAATTGAAGAGGATGCTTTGCTACATCCTGCCAGGTTTTTCAAGGGGAACGTAGGTTTTGAGAAAGGTAAGGGAAAGCCCTTGCATTCAGCTTTAAATGAATATATTATAAATCTTTAGAGTCCCTGGTGGTGGGGAAAAAACCAGAAACTATCTGCTGGACAAATGTTGACCTTATGGGCCAGGACTATTCAAAAATAGGACCTTGACTTATGTATAGGACAGCACTGGCTGATGGCTTGAAGTATATAGATGTGTGTGTTTATTTCTGTATCAAGTAGTCTGTTCAAGTGAACATATTATTTTGAATCTTCATGGCCAAATTCATAGGATTTAAGATATGTATCAATAATTTTGTGATGTATTTAATTTTCCTGTTGTCTAAAACATTTGATGAAATATAAATATACATGTGTATATTGTAAATATCTAAGGCATTAATCTGCAGAAATCCAATCAAACATTAATGTCATTTAAACTCGGGAAGCCTCAAAAGTTCTTTATTTAATCAGATTTTTAAATTATGAGTTTATGAATTTTATGAAAAAAATCTGTATTTTGATGACTCTAGTGAGGGAGAAATGGAATTTTAAACTTTTATTTTCCATTTGTGTTATTTAAAAATTTTATTTTTTCCTGTATGCATGTGTCTTATCTAAATTGCTGGAATATTTTAAAGCTATGCAGAGATAACACAAGTACATGTCTACCCTGTACTTCTTATTTTGTTGGAGTTATTTGGATAAAATGCTAGTAATCAGCAACCAAAACTCATTGAACAACAGCAGATATTTTTCTGCTGCTCCCGTTTCAGCATTGCTGGTGTCCTCTGACTTTTCTTTCTGTGCTGCTTTTCCTTAGCGCATTACTGATGAAGGTGTGGTGCAGATATGCAGGGGCTGTCACCGGCTGCAGGCTCTCTGCCTTTCGGGTTGCAGCAACCTCACAGATGCCTCTCTCACAGCGCTGGGTTTGAACTGTCCACGACTGCAGTGAGTACACCACACTTTTTGCTTTGCAGCTCAGAGTTTGGCTGAGTTAACCAAGAGGGCTTCCTGCAGGAGAGGACAGGCTTGACAGGTAGGGGTGGTGGAGGCAGTAGTCTTTTGTTGGGTAAATTGGGGTGAGACAATGTATAAATCCAGTTCATTGAAGGATGTACTGGGAGAGTATAAAATGTCTACCACCAGTGAATCCAAACTTTAATTTCTCGATGAATGTCACAGTTTTCCACCTAATTTACCTCATCCTGTTATTGCTTTAAGCATCTGAGTGAGCACATAGTGAGCAGTGGTAGCCTCACGTCCTCCAGACCTGCTGCCAAACAGAAGAATGAGGGGAACATCACAATCACTTAGCTTCTTCCCCAGTAGGAAAAAGGTTTTGTTTTTAACAAATAATGATTTAGGCCAGGCACGGTGGCTCACGCCTGTAATCCCAACACTTTGGGATGCTGAGGCGGGTGGGTCACCTGAGGTCAGGAGGTCGAAACCAGCCTGGCCAGCATGGTGACACCTTGTCTCTACTAAAAATACAAAAATTAGCCAGGTGTGGTGGCAGGCGCCTGTAGTCCCAGCTACTCGGAATGCTGAGGCAGGAGAATCACTTGAACCCGGGAGGCGGAGATTGCAGTGAGCCAAGATTGTGCCACTGCACTCTAGCCTGGGCGACAGAGTGAGATCCCATCTCAGGAAAAAAAAAAAAAAAACCCAATAATTTGTATTCTGATCTTCAAGGTAATAGATTATCATTACCAGCTATGAATATTAAAATTTTAACAATAGTAACAATAGAAACTGACTTCAGAACCAGCAACCTTTAAACTCTACCCAAGAGGCAGAAAAAAAGATACTTTTTAAAAATCTCTACTTCCCAATGAAACTGATCCATTCCCACGCTCACACCAGTTCTGTATCTTTTAAGAATCGTATATTTCTGCTTTTACCAATTTTTCTTACTGTTGTAGAGAAGGTACTATATCATTTAGATATTTCTGCTTAGAAGGAATTTGGGTGATCAAAACTGGTCAGAAAGGAGGTCAAAATTGTTGCTGTAAGAGAGTGTTTAACTTAGAATGTTATTCATGCACCCATCCCTATTAAGCCTGGGTAACTGAGAATTAACTTATTTTTCATTGTCTACAAATTTTTAAAATTTCCTTTAGGGTACCTGGGAATTTCTATAAATGCAGTAAATATCAAGATGATTTCATTGAGAAAAGTTCATTTTAAATGTGTTTAAAAAGTGAACAAGGCTGGGCATGGTGGCTCATGCCTGTAATCCCAGCACTTCGGGAGGCCGAGGAGGGTGGATCACCTGAGGTCAGGAGTTTGAGACCAGCCTGGCCAACATGATGAAATCCTGTTTCTACTAAAAATACAAAAATTAGCTGGGCATGGTGGCAGGCACCTGTGGTCCCAGCTACTTGGGGAGACTGAGACGGGAGAATCGTTTGAACCTGGGAGGCAGAGGCTGCAGTGAGCCAAGATCCTGCCACTGCACTCCAGCCTGGGTGACAGTGTGAGACTCCGTTTGTAAAAAACAAACAAAAAAACCCAAAAAACAAATACTGGAATACTATTTGAAAACAACATGCTGGTATAGCAGGAAGATTCTTACTTTCCAAATTTGGGATGGAACTTTGGGGCTTTGGGCAGGTCACATTCCCTCAGGGCTGTTAACAGAAGGAAAAGCATGTCAAAGAGCAGCAAAAACTCAAGTATGCATCATACATTCTGTGTTTCCACTGTTAACTAGTTGGTACCGTTTTCTCCCCTGTATACTTTCTCCTCAGAATTTTGGAGGCTGCCCGATGCTCCCATTTGACGGACGCAGGTTTTACACTTTTAGCTCGGGTAAGGCATAGATTTAAAGAATACAACCAAACTCGAATTCACCTCCCAAATTCAAAGTGACTCGGAGTAGTTTCGGGTGTGCAGAAGACTGTCTTCGGCAGAGACAGGCGCGGAGCAGAGCAGAGCCCTTGGGGTGTGCACTGCAGTTTCTCCGGTTAGCCGGACATCTAGGGAAGTCCTGTAGAGGGTTCTGTAAAGGGTCTGGGCCTCACGTGTGCTCAAGCGGGGCCAGCCTCCTCCTGGCAGTCGGCTCCATTCCTCATGTGGACCCCAACTTGGCCTCTCAGCAGCTCCCCGTAACTGGGCTGTACTCTGCCCTTTGCCCTGCAAACACCACTGGGGGCCCCTCTGGACCTGCTGTCAGGAACCCATGTCCTCCTGGGGCTGCTGATACACTCTGCTACCTCCACCCAACCGCCACAGTGTGGCTTCCTGCCCCATCCCCATGCCCTCCTGGAGCCTAGGCTAAAATTTACCTGCTGATGTCTGCGAGCCACTGGGAAGGTTTTGGACAACTCTCTTTCCAAGTTGAGAGGAGGAAACGCAGCCAGAGGCAGCCCTGTTCCCAGTTCCGAAGCACCGTATGTAACTCAAAAGGAAGCTGCTCAGAAGTGCTGGTTTACTGGGTAGCTTTAGGAACAGGGCATGCTTCTTAATAGAAGAGAACAAGGACACTGGGCCAATACTCAGAGGGGTGGGGCAAGCCACCATTGTTGCCCTCACCACTGAGTCACATGTAGGGTGTGTCTTGTGGACTCTTCCAGAATTGCCACGAATTGGAGAAGATGGATCTTGAAGAATGCATCCTGGTGAGTGGACTCCTGACAGCCCTGCAGGGCAGCCTGCCCCTCAGTCACTGCTGGCCAGTGCGGCACAGCCAGAGACACTGACTGGCTGTCATCCTGACCCTCTTTGATCAACCTCAGTGGCAGGGCTTGGAAACCTGTGAAGGCCATGGCAGTGGATGTGTGAACTGTTGGCCATTCTCAGTCATCAGACAGAACTACAGAAGAGAAGTTCAGGATAGCTCTGTAAAATAAGCTTGCATGTCCAGTGATGGGATGACTCCAAAGAGGAGAATCCTGGGAACCCTCCTTGCCCACTCCACTTTGTCCCTTGCCCCAAGCCTCCTTGGGGCACCAGAAGAGAGACCAAAAAACAGTTATGCATCTCTAGAAGTGGGCAGATTTTAGAGTGCTGGTGAAGAGAGGAGCTCCCAGCCCCAGAGTGTTTGAGATGAGTTTTTAATTCTCTTTTACACCTTTTGATTCTCATGTTCAGGAGAAGCGAGGATTAGGTATTAAGTTCTGGTGTAGAAGCCACACTGACACAGCGTGTTTCTCTCCAGATAACCGACAGCACACTCATCCAGCTCTCCATTCACTGTCCTAAACTGCAAGCCCTGGTGAGTCTGAGTTTTTCTGACATTATTCACCTGTTAAAGATGAGAGAGCCCTCCCGCCACAGCAGGAAGCTGTTTGGGTTCTCGTTCTGTAAGGTATCATCTCTCGATTTCAAAGATCTATTAATTGGGCTAACTTGGGAGGCAAGGTATCTAAATATTTGATTACTGTTTTCATTGAATTTGCAGTTTTAGGATTCCCAAAAAAGAAATGTCCAGATCCAGATGGTTTTGTTGGGGAACTCTACCAAACATTTAAGGAATGAACATCTTTTTTTTTTGAAACAGGGTCTCACTCTATTGCCCAGGGTGGAATGCAATGGCACAATCTCAGCTCACTGCAACCTCTGCCTCCCAGATTCAAGCGGTTCTCCTCAACCTTGTGCATAGCTGGGATTACAGACATGTGCGACCACGCCTGGCTAATTTTTGTATTTTTAGTAGAGACGGGGTTTCACCATGTTGGCCAGGCTGGTCTCAAACTCCTGACCTCAGGTCATCTGCCTGCCTCGACCTCCCGAAGTGCTGGGATTACAGGTGTGAGCCACTGTGTCTGACCTGAATTAACATCAATTTTATACACTCTCTTTTAGGAAATAGACAGTAAAACATTTTACAACTCTTTATTTTGAGACAGAGTCTTGCTCTGTCACCCAGGCTGGACTGCAGTGGCACAATCTCGGCTCACTGCAACCTCTGCCTCCTGGGTTCAAGCTATTTTCCTGCCTCATCCTCCCGAGTAGCTGGGATTACTGGTGTGCACCACCACGCCCAGCAAATTTTTGTATTTTTAGAAGAGACAGGGTTTCACCATGTTGGCCTGGCTGGTCTCGAACTCCTGACCTCAAGTGATCCATCTGCCTCGGCCTCCCAAAACTTTTTTTTTTTTAACAAGGCCAGTAATACCCTGTTATCAAAACCAAACAAAAATTGTACCAAAAAAACTACAGACTGATGTTCCTCATAAATATAGAAGCAAGTATCTGTAACAAAATGTTAGCAAATAGAATGTAGCAATATATAGAAATAATTATAATACCATGGCCAAGCAGGATTTACTCCGGAGACACAAGTGCAGTTTAATATTTGAAAACTGACTGATGTAATCAACCATGTTAACTAAAGAAGAAAAATTACATGATCACATCAACTAATGCAGAAAAAAAAACTGACAAAATTCAAAAGAGGGCCGGGCACGGTGGCTCACACCTGTAATCCCAGCACTTTGGGAGGCTTAGGCGGGCAGATCACAAGGTTGGGAGATTGAGACTATCCTGGCCAAAATGGTGAAACCCCGTCTCTACTAAAAATACCAAAATTAGCTGGGTGTGGTGGCACACGCCTGTAGTCCCAGCTACTCGGCAGGCTGAGACAGGGGAATCGCTTGAACCTGGCAGAGGTGGCAGTGAGCCAAGATCACACCACTGCACTCCAGCCTGGCGACAGAGTGAGACTCTGTCTCAAAAAAAGAAAAAAAAAATTCAAAAGTAAAAGTTACTTTAAAAAGTACCAGGAGGCCGGGCGCGGTGGCTTACACCTGTAATCCTCAGCACTGTGGGAGGCTGAGGCGGGCGGATTGCCTGAAGTCAGGAGTTCGAGACCAGCCTAACCAACATGGAGAAACCCTGTCTCTACGAAAAACACAAAAAATTAGCCGGGCGTGGTGGCACACGCCTATAATTCCAGCTACTCAGGAGGCTGAGAGAATCGCTTGAACCTGGGAGCGGGAGGTTGCGGTGGATTCATGCCATTGCACTCCAGCCTGGGCAACAAGAGTGAAACTCCGTCAAAAAAGAAAAAGTACCAGGAATAGGAGGAAAATCCCCAGTTGCCATGTTCTCTACACAGGGATAACCACTATGGCCCATTTCTGTCCTTCTCGAGAAATTCTCTGTGCAATGAAAAGTGATTCTCTTTCTCTGTCCCTCTCCTCCCTGTCTCTTTCACGCACACACATCCACACCACATCCATGGGAGCAGAAGACACCTGCTGATGGCAATTAAAAGCAGTTCCACCTCCCATTCTGCATCTTCTGCCCCACCACCCTAACCACCTCTGAGTCAGGAATGTGATATAAGCTGCTCACTTCCAGAATGCACCACTCCTGCCGGGGGTGACTGACAGTGCATGACAGGAGAAAAGGCTTTGAGGCCAGCCTGATACTGGCAAGTATCAACTTCTTTGAGCCACAATGCCGTCATCTGTAAAAAGGGAATAATGACACCTACTCTGCAGAATTGGCCCGAACCAGACAGCTCTGACTATTGACTATGTTGTTAGCGTTAATATAGAAGGCCCCACTGCTATGCGAACCCTGTTGGCAGCAGATTTTCCTGTTAACTTGGAAAAGGCCAAGCACCCTCTGATTTTCCTTAAATCAGGTTTTAAAAATTTCTATGAATACTTGAATATGCCAGTACCTAAGTTTTTCAATTAATATAACAGTATCTCCTCAGTCTCATATTACTGCTAACTTCTTGATTTCTGAATTTCCCTATATTAAAACAATGGAGAAATTAGCATTCATACACCACCTCCATCATCTTTCTCCAATCTGTGTTTGTAAATATACACATATATATGTGTGAATCTATATGTAAATAAAATGAAATTGGCTGGGCGTGGTGGCTCACGCCAGTAATCTCAACACTTTTGGAGGCCAAGGCGGGCGGATCACCTGAGGTCGGGAGTTTGAGACCAACCTGACCAACATGGAGAAACCCCGCCTCTACTAAAAATACAAAATTAGCCGGGCGTGGTGGTGCGTGCCTATAATCCCAGCTACTCAAGAGGCTGAGGCAGGAGAATCGCTTGAACCTGAGAGGTGGAGGTTGCATTGAGCTGAAACTGCGCCATTGCACTCCACCCTGGGCAACAAGAGGGAAACTCTACCTCAAAAATAAATAAATAAAAATTTAAAATAAAATGAAATAAAAACATACACAGAGAGATACTTTTTTGATTCCATTTTATTGTAAGTAATCAAAATTCTATTTTTTGATTTACCAATTTTAAACAGCCTCCTAAAGAACCAGTTTTCTGGCTTTACTCATAAGTCAATTCTAAAAGCTGAACACCAATGAACAGCATTGATTACATAAATACTATTTGATGTAAACCATGTAGAGTGATTCGATTCATGAGAAAGGAAATATATTCCATATTGTTAAGATCAAGCTCAGAGAAGAACTTTTCAAGTATCAAGATCCAACAGAATTCCTCTTCCTTAGCTTCTCTTCCCTCGAGGTTGCACTCTGCTGCTCAGTTACATAGCCAGTAGTTCTAGTTTCTAGTGGTAGTTTCTAGTTTGGGGCTGTTACAACCAGTACTGCTATGTCTTAGATTTTTTATTCTGCAGGAATACCTTACACCCATCCACTTAGGTCTCCCCTGCCAGGACTCAAGTCCAAACCCTCAGACATTTCCTTGCTTCATAGACTGCAGTAGCCATTCACTTGCCCTAAACTGTATCCACTTCCACACAAAAAAATTTGGCAGAGTGGTTTGTTTTTTCAATTTTAACTTTACTGAAGTAAAATATACATGCAGAAAAGTACATTTATCATTGGTGTACAGATCAATGCATTTCCATAAACTGAATACACCCCAATCAAAGGTCAACATTATCATGACCCCAGAAGGGCCCTTTCTGCTCCCTTTCAACCACTGATCCCTCAAAAGTCGTGACTTCCAAATAGCATATGTCAGTTTTGCCTCTTTTTGTATTTTATTTAAATGATATGAATGGAACCATCATGTATACTCATCTGGTTTCCTTATCCATATTGTTACACGTAGTTTGTATATTGTTCATTCTCACAGCTTTATAGAATGGGGACACTGTGATTTATTTATCCTTTCTCTACTTGTGAATATTTGGGTACTGCTTCTAGTTTGGGGCTATTAGAGCCAGTATTCCTATGTTTTTTGGTTAACACATGTATGCATTTCAGTCAGAAACATCGAAGTAACCCCTGCAGCATATGAGACTTCCAGTTGCTCCACATCCTCACCAACACTTATTTTCCATCTTTTTTGAAAAACAATTGTAACATCACGTTGTCCTTACAACTCCTCCCACTGACCTTGGAATCAAATTTCTTTACATAATCTACACAACTCTGTGATCTGGCCCTTACCTCCCCAATTCATCTGCATCTACATGCATCCTCTTATTTCCCACCTATTATATGTTGACCTTCTTCCTAAACAGTACTTGCCATTCTCCTGCTACCCCTGGGCTTTGCACACAACAAACTCTTTGCTCTCTTTCCTAGGATTAGCTCCTAGTCCTTCAAATAGCAACTCAGTGGTCTCTTCCCCAGGACAAATCCTGCTATCATATGCTGTCGAAGCATCTCAGCTTCAGTTTAAAAGATTAGCATTATTTGATTTTCTAGACTCTCCAGTCTGGGCTCCGCCAGTGCAGAAAAGTATATTTTTACTCATCATTGCACCCGTGGGGGCTAGGACAGAGTTGGAGCTCATATATTTGAAGGAACAAATGAACAAATGGGACATTGATGCAGTACTTTTGCCTCTCCAGTTTTTATGGTGGGGTGAATCTTACATTTGATATGCATTGGGAGAAACTGTCAGGTCTAAAACTGTTTTTGATATGGAGAACTTAAGAGAATTACACAAATGTCATTTGGCTATATAATATTCATCTGAATTTATCTTCTGCAACTGTTACTGTTTACCCAAGAGAAGTCAGTAATGTCAGATCACACCGTTCAAGGTCTATTTGATTATAACCTTCAAAGATGTTCAGTACATCTCTGGGTCACAGCTATTTATGCAGTTTTCTAAATGACATTAGATGCATTGATTTCACTTGCATCCCCTCAAATGGAGAACTGGCCAATAAAACTGCTGTCAAGGGGGTAAACTCTGAAATTTCCCCTGAAAATTTTATTTCCATCATTACACAATTAGAAGAGAGAAGCCACTCCCAGCGTAGCAAACCCATAACCAAAGGGCCCCAAGGCTTTGTGTTTGGTCCTCACTGCCTGATTAAATGTCTCAGTCTGTTTTGTGCTGCTACCACAGACTGGATAATTTGTAATGAACAGAAACTTCTCATAGTTCTGAAGGCTGGGAAGTCCAGGGGCTGGCATCTGCTGAGGGCATTCTTGCTGTGTCATTCCATTGCAGAAGGGCAAAAAGGCTAGCTTCCAGCTTTTTTTTAGGACTTGAGCCTTGGAATAAGGGTCCTGCAAACATTTACTGTCTCCCTGTTCCAGAGCCTGTCCCACTGTGAACTCATCACAGATGATGGGATCCTGCACCTGAGCAACAGCACCTGTGGCCATGAGAGGCTGCGGGTACTGGAGTTGGACAACTGCCTCCTCATCACTGATGTGGCCCTGGAACACCTAGAGAACTGCCGAGGCCTGGAGCGCCTTGAGCTGTACGATTGCCAGCAGGTTACCCGTGCAGGCATCAAGCGGATGCGGGTAGGTGTGGGGCAGGGGAGTCGGTCACACCTGACATTTCTAAGCAACAAAGGAAAACATCAAGAATCAGGCCGGGGCCAGGTGTGTGGTGGCTCATGCCTGTAATCCCAACACTTTGAGAAGCCAAGGTGGGCGGATCGCTTGAGGTCAGGAGTTCAAAGACCAGTCTGGTCAAAATGGTGAAACCCCGTTTCTACTAAAAATACAAAAATTAGCTGGGTGTGGTGGTGGGCGCCTGTAATCCCAGCTACTCGGGAGGCTGAGGCAGTGAGCCCAGATTGCACTACTGCCCTCCAGCCTGGACCACAGAGTGAGACTCCATCTCAAAATAAATCAACACCCATTTTCTCTGTTATGCAATAGTTATGCAAACTGATCTGGCACAGTAGTGGCACCTTATAGACTTCGTCAAAATGTTCTTGCTTAGACTCTGCCCTGGAAGATTCAACTTGAGTTGGGTCTGGGATGGAGATTCCACATAGTCTGGTGATCGGAGCCCTTATAAGAAAGCCTTTGTTGGGCTGGGCGCGGTGGCTCACAACTGTAATCCCAGCACTTTGGGAGGCCGAGGCAGGCGGATCACAAGGTCAGGAGTTCGAGACCAGCTGACCAACATGGTGAAACCCCGTCTCTACTAAAAATACAAAATTAGCTGGGTGCACACCTGTAATCCCAGCTACTTGGGAGGCTGAGGCAGGAGAATCGCTTGAACCCGGGAGGAGGAGGTTGCAGTGAGCCCAGATTGTACCACTGCACTCCAGCCTGGGGGACAGGAGTGAAACTGTCTCAAAAAAAGTAAAAAGGCCTGTGTTAAAGGCAAGCAATTTAAGGTCATCATGAGTGGGAGGTAGAACTCTCTTGGCTAATTTCCAGGTAAGAGGGCTTAACAGAATTTGGCTTTTGCCATGTAGTTCACCTACATTGTTTTATTGATTATGCTTTAAGTTTAGGCAACTGCATTTACATATCAAAACAGCCCCATCCAGGGTGCTACAGCTGTAGAGAACATTCACTTAGTTTGCAGACAGGGCTGGTTACTACCCCGGGTGGAAACATATCAAAGTAGATTAACGTAAGTGTTTTCACTTATCCTTAGAAACATATCAAAATATATTAACGTAAGTGTTTTCACTTATCCTTAGAAACGTATCAAAATATATTAACGTAAGTGTTTTCACGTACTAATGCGGGGCAGAGGGTTGGGGGAGTAACAGTAGCAGCTCCAATCTATAACATAAATTCTATTTGAACTGACTAAGGTGAAGATTTTTAATAGCGGACTAGAATTATGACCATAATCCTAAAAATACCAGTGTAAAGACTCCACTTTTTTCTTCATCCTTCCAGGCTCAGCTCCCTCATGTCAAAGTCCACGCCTACTTTGCTCCCGTCACCCCACCGACAGCAGTGGCAGGAAGCGGCCAGCGACTGTGCAGGTGCTGTGTCATTCTCTGACAGCAGCTGCCTGGGCCCAAGGGTTGATGAGGCGTCCCTTCCTCTAGAAGACCTGAGTCTTCCTGACCTACTCCACCATCACCCAATCTGTTGATTCTCCATTGGGAAAGGCATTTACAGGTAAAAGACTTCTGTATGGATTGCAGTAACTCTGGTGAGAGTTTTCACCTTTATTCTGCTGTGAAACAATCGAATCAAAGCCTTGTGTCAGTTCACACAGGACAAGTGGTTTCAATGCAGCTAGGACCATGCCAGAAACCTGGATCTCTTAAGAGATTGGTACCTACCTAGGTACAAAAGTTCTACCCTTGGCATTATCAGCACTCCTCAAAAAGACCATCAGTGTTAGCACAAACTGAGCAGAAAAACTAGGCTGTTGATTTTCTACCTGATATTTAAGCCAGTGGCCTACTTTAATTCACAACAATTCCATTTTGATTAGCAGGACTTTTCCACTTTGAAGATAAAATAGCAACTTTGTCAAAGTGACTGTACTGCAAATTCATAATGCCTGATAGTTTTATATGTAGAGACTTATGTGGAAGGCATGTTAATAGGTTTCCATGAGACACCAAAGAAAAGAGGACTCTATACTGGGTGGAGCAGGGTCTTCACCTTTTTGTTTCTGTCAACTTGTCATACACACCTCCAGGGACCAAAAACAAAAGCAGCTCAGAGAGTCTGTGCCTGCCTGATTGGGAAGTAGAAGCTCTGGTGTATGCTACAGCACATAATGCATTTTTATTAAAGGAAAAAAGCTAATTATGTCCATGCCTCTCATAAAACTGGGGGGAACCTTAAAGAAAAAGAACTAAGGCTTAAGTTATCTGTAGTATAATCAATTAAAAGTAATGAATGGATGCATGTAAAATGGATGTGATTTTTTTTTTCAAGCTTATTTTGCAATCTTAGAAATCAGGTTACACCATAGCTACTCAAAAGTTTTACAGACTTAAAACTCAGATCAGTAAGTGTTGGTACCTTTTAGACTCATAAAATTGAATAAACCATTGCAATGCTTTAAAAAAAATTAAGTCAGAGGGTTTTATTGCTATGATTTTATGGCAGACACATCCAAGCAAAACCATTTTCCAAATGCAGACCTTCATGATGTTATCTGAAATCTGGTAAAATGACCCCACTGTCTGCTGTGGTTGATTCTTGCTCCATGCTGTCCACATTTGTGACCTTTATTAAGAAACTATCACCACCTTCCTTGTAAACGTAGGTGTTCATGGTGGCTGGCCCTTCCTAACCACCACTCCCCCAAACTGAAGGGCCAGAAGCTCATGAGAAACGTAAGTAAAACGGCAAAAACAAGATGTTTTCCCGTGACTAGCAATACCTTTATTGGGCAGTTTTAGAAGTGTTTTTAAGGATATATTACCTCGGCTGCATTCTAGGAAGGGAAAGCAGATAGATATATCTGCCCATAAATGGACTTAGCACGATTATCAGAGTAAACATTTTATTGCCTTATGCTATATTCCAGCATTCCTTGGTCTAAAAATTGTGTGGATACCATAGCAGTTCTTAAATATACATTTATACCTACTGTTGTGGAGGAGACGGGGGAGGAAGACTGATGCAGGAAGCAACTTCAATAAATGAGCACATAACAGACTCACTTCAGTGATTATGAATTAGAGTTTCTGTTTAAAAAATTAACTTAAGGCCAGGCGTGGTGGCTCACGCCTATAATCCTAGCACTTTGGGAGGCCGAGACGGGTGGCTCCCCTGAGGTCAGGAGTTTGAGACCAGCCTGGCCAACATGGTAAAACCCTGTCTCTACTGAAAATACAAAAATTAGTCAGGCATGGTGGCAGGCACCTGTAATCTCAGCTACTTGGGAGGCTGAGGCAGGAGAAATGCTGGAAACTGGGAGGCGGAGGTGGCAGTGAGCCGAGATCATGCCATTGCACTCCAGCCCGGGCGACAACAGTGACTCCGTCTCAAAACAAAACAAAACAAAAGATTAAATGACCAGAGCCTTCTATACATGATTTCTTTTGAGCCACGATACAACCTATCAATCACAGCTACTGGACTCAATGACCCATGGCCTCATTTACAAAACAGGAGAACTTCTTATAAGACAATCAATCAATCAGGTTTGCTTCCTTTTCAAGTCTGGAACAGTTAGTTACTGGAATAACATATCCTCAGTTGCATCAGCTTTGAGAAAATAAACTGAAAAAGAAAAAACTATGGGCCTAACCTCTTATTACATTTAGACTGGCTCAGAACACACACAGGGGAAACTCCTTGATTCTATGACATGAAGTGACAGAAGCAGGAACTGGGATTTTAAATGAGACACACATTTGCAAAACAATCAGAAAACATTTATTATACTGAAATGTGTACATCCTACTATTAAAAAAACAAAGTAACAAATTTGCTGGTGCCAAGATTTATTTAGCCTGTTTCACTGGGACAAACTCATGTTCAATGCCACGCAGTAAAATTTAAGTCTCATAAGCGTCTAAGTATTTTTACCCCGCTTCTAAAACCTGATGAGGAATTCAAAATAAGCACACAGCATTAAATGACATTTATTGTTCCATAAATCTTGAGACCCAAAAAGGAATGCTAAATAGACAAGCAAAACTTTTAAAACAAGAGATAAACTCACTTCTTTCCCCAGTGACTGGTACAGGAAACATGTGGTCACACAAAAGCAAAGGCAAAAAGTCAGAAAGGAAATCTCTCTGCCTATAGGATCTATAGGAGTTACAGGTACTTTCAAATCGATGATGAAAACAGACCGTGCTTCCTTGTAGCAAATAATTCACCCCCTTTATGAATAAAACATGTCAAAGCTTTTACCCACTGAAGCAGTTTGTCTTCCGGGAGAGATTACAAACTCAAAATTACTCATTTCCTATTTTTTGCCTGAACACAGATGAGGACCAAATAGTACATTCAAATAAGGACACCTGGGTATATGGACAGAGATCCTACAATTAAAATGGAATAGAAGTTAAAAAAAAAAAAAAATTCAGTCCCCTACACCATAGGCCTCAAACATGCTTGCTGATGGATTCTGGGAAGGTTTTGGACGAAGGACGGAGATAGATATGGGAGGAAAGTGAGGAAACAGTGGATTCCCTTTGAAAAGTATGCTAGCAGACAAGCATTTGGTTTTATGAAAGAGGCACTCTTTTTATAGAGAAAGAAGCTATTATGTGGTGTATAAAAAGCCCCTAAATCATCACCAGAATGTCTATCCATGATTGTACTAAAGCTCAATATTTGAGGAGAGGCTTAAGGGATTTGTATGGTACATTTTAGTGTTTGATAACATCTAGTGTTTCCACGAAAAAATTCATCTTGTTCATAATGAAGATCCCTTAACACCTATTCAGAAGCTATCAACAATAATACTTTCTCCCCCTACTTGGGTCACCTATTTCGAATGTCTGGGGTAGGGCTTTAAAAAATGTTTAACAGGATGGTGGGGGTGGGGGGTGGTCAGAGATGGAGGGAGAGAGGGAAGAAAACGAGAGAAAAACCACGAGTTTAGCAAGGAATCTCCAAAAATGAAAACCAGAAACTAAAATGCTAAAAATGGAAGCAGAAGCAAAAAAGTTTTTCAATAAATCTGTGACAAAGCCAAAACACAAAAGTCTTTGTACCTATTAGGATTTACACTGATCCTCTCACCAAGGTACTCCTGATAATGCAGTTTGCTTCAAGCCCATCTTCCTGGCTTGGATCTTCTCCAATCTGGCATGATCATATCAAACGTACACCCTTAGACATGATTTCTTCCAAGAAGGTGCCGAGCCTTTTACCTGACCACCAACGGCCACATCAGCACAACACATCTTTCCGCATACAGATTCACTGCTGGCCCCAAAACAGCACTGTCCCCCATCTCCTCTCCAGGTCAGCATAAGGTTCAGGCAATAAAAGCCAAACTGGCACAGAAAGGTAAATGCCCACAGTAAGTTTCTACATTCATTTCCAAACCGCATACAGTGTAAAAAGACAGCAAAGGCTGCTTCTAGGAACTGTATTTACTGGCCTCTGCCAGAGCAGCAGGCAGCTATGCCTGCACTGTGGCCTCCAGAGCTGGATGCATGCTGTGCCGATGTGCTCACTCTCATGAGGGTGCTTGGCTATGGCAGTGACAGTGAGGAGATTCACCTCTCATACAGCTCGTTAGAAAGGTCATCTTGTGTTTTCAATATGAAACATTTCATATGGTAAAATCCAATCCCAAGACTTCTTGGATTCAGTCTTCACACACTTTTAAGCGTGACTATTTGGTACTGAATATAGTTCAGTCTATATAAGACATCACTTCAAAATTATGTGGATGCCATCACTATTTTCAGCTGCAGAAAAGGAAAGAAACATTTCTTCAGTCAGGCTTAGGACATTAAGCCTATTAAATGGAAAACTCCCTGCCAACTACAACCTCCCTTCCCAATTCAGAGGTTACCTTTAAATGATTCTAGAGAAACAAGCAAATTAACTTGCTCTAGCTCCTCTTCCCCCAAAACACTTCATGTACACATTCCCTTTTTAGACATTCTGCGAAGCCTGGTCCACTATCAATGCCCCCATTCCAACACTGTCTGCCAGTTCTGGGGGTAGGGGGACATCTAGCAAGACACACAATAATAATAGTGTTGTCCATAAGGGAAGCAAGAACTAGAAGCAGAACAGGTGAAATATACTGTGTCAGGGCAGAGGACCCGAGGGAGCAAATGCGTACATCTATCTTTGCCAGAAAAATTTCTGAGCCACTGAGAGGGAGATTTCAAACATTTTAAAAATGTATCATTCCTTTTGTTGCCTAGTGTTTCTCAGTAAATAGAAGCAATATAGGCATTCATAAAAAAATGATTTTTCTCATGAGGATAAAGTTTGAACAACAACAACAAAAAAAAACAGTAAATTGAGATCAGAGGGGAGATTCTATGATTTCTAACACCAGAAAACGTCTACTGGTTCCACAAAACAAAACTATACAATTATACTATATGTTTTCTTTTTTAGACAATGTCAGTTATGCAAGGTAAAAACCATACTGCTGTGAGAACAAAAGACTGAGGAGAAGGGTACTAGGCTAAAGATGTTTCTGAAAGTAAAAGTTAGAGTGAACCAGTTCAGAGTTAAAACTCAGCCTCGCAGGTAACCTGATGGCATATGCAACATGTGAGGCACAAAGTAAAATCAGTATTTCAGTAGTTTGGGGATACTTGACACACATGACATCTCCCTCTTCTAGGGGCAGCTTTTGTGCTAAGACCGGATTTGGATCTTAGCTCACCTGACTTTTAAAACAGTCTATGAATGTATGATCTCTTCTCAAATTTTACATTTAGGAATCCCTCCTCTTTAATGTGGGAGCCACCTAAGCCTGGTCCTGGCTCTCTTTTCACAGTCTCTCCCTAAATGACCTTAACAACTTCTACAGCTTTGAGTCACTGTTGATATGCTGAAGGCCTCCAAATTTACATCTCAAGGCCAGGCCTCTTCTCTGAGCCCCACAGTGGTAACAGTCAACTGCCTACTTGACATTTCTACATATCCAAAATCAAACTCTTGGTTGATTTACCCCAACCATACTTACCTCTTCAATGAAATCACCATCTGCCCAGTTACTTTCCACAGAAAACCAGGTGTCAGAACTATTCCTCCCTCAAATGTGCAGCCCACTGGGGCCCTGTCTATAAATCTGTAAGATACCACCACAGTGGCACCTTTCACCTGCCTCATTTTGCCACCTTCTCATCTGTCTCCACAGAGTTGTGAAAGTGAAAGAAAAATCTAGTCACATTACTCCTCCTTTGTTTAAACAACTTCAGTGACAACTCAATACATTTCAAGTAAATCCGAACTACCATCATCACCCGGTCCCGCATGCCGGACCCGGCCTCCTGCTTTGATTCACCCTGATCAGCTCATCCTCACACACAGCATGGCAGCTACATCCACTGCCAAGCTTTCAAAGAAGCCAGGTGTTTGCACACAGCCCCACATTGCCTGGGGATGCTAATCCTATGGCCAGTTCCTGCTCCTTCTCATTCTTCAAGTCTCAGGATTAATGACACCTCCTCAGAGAAGCCTTACCTTACAGCTTCATATTCCCCTCAACCCAGATCTCCCTTATCCGTAAGTACCCCACACTTTCCTGTTCCTTCATGGCACTTAACGTACTGGTAATTTTGTGTATCTCTTGGCCAATTTTGGTTTGCTTTCCCCAATAGGAGTTTCATGGATTCTGTTTTATTCAAGATCCACTGAGTGACAGAAGCACAGTGTCTGACACAAAGTGCTCAGTAAGACGTTGGCTGAATGAATTGAGATTTTTTTTTCCAGTCATCTAGAAAGACTGACTCCTCTTCCTTATTTGTTAATTTCTATTACAACCACTAGAAATATTCTCAATTCATTTATCAAACTTTCTTCTTAAAATGAGTAAAGCCACCATTTTAAAGAATAAACACACGAGAGGCACTAATTAGAGGCACACACCATCTCTCATGATTCTGGCATTTTAAGACACACACACATGCAAAGTACCTTTTACTGTGGAGAATAAAAAACAACTCTCATCTTGAAAATTCTGAACCATCTAGAAGGATAAAGTGAATGTGTAAGTACAATTAAGATCCAACTGTCATTTCTTAACGAAAAATGATTTTAAAACAGTAAATATTCTTCTCATACAATTACAGGACTCAATGGCCAAAACGATAATTCACGAAGGCAGTGTGAGGCAGCAAAGATGCACACGTGCTGCACTGCCTGTGTTCACTGTGCCTGTCCATAATGGTCCCTGAGAGACCTGGTCGGTCACCCGTGTGACCCACAGGAGCACATCCCCTGCCAGCTCAAGTGGATGATGACTCTTAAAAATTGCATAAAGTGCTCTTCTATTATTACTTGCTTGCCACCAATCACTAAGAGGAAAATTATATATCTTACATGTTTTTTAAAATTAGTCATCAAATAATAGACAAAAGGAAAACACATCCAGTGACTCACCTCATAAAATGGACCAAAGCCTTCCACTATCCTAGAGTCCCCCAGTAACTGGCTGCATCCTAAAGGGCTGGGGGGAAGCTAAGCCAGTTTTCCTTGGCTTGTATTCCATGTTATCACTAGGATGCCTGTAACTCATGGTTATAAGTTCTTCCAAAGTGATTCCCAACTCTCGGGAAATGATTCTCATAAGTATTTTCAAACGAGGTCACAGAATTTTTCTACAGTTCTACAATTACATGTATAAAAGTAAATACCAGTGTGAAAAGGAAAAACAAATGATTTGATTTACCTGATCACTAACAAGAATGTGAATACCAGTGGGACCCTGTCTGTAAACCTGATTAATTTGGTGGAGAGGAATATTAAACACCAGCGCAAGTTTTCGAGCAACTTCTGAAGCAATCATTTCTTCCAAGTAGATTGCATGATAAACTGAAATTTAAAAAAAAAACAAAAAGAAGAGCATTTTAACAGTGATCTTTGATCTGTTTTCTACCTGATCTGTAGGATCTGTACAAAGGTCACACCTTTCAAAGTACCAAAAAAGTAAAAAACATTTTAAATGGGAATAAACTCTTTCTTTTCCATCTTACTACCTTGAAATCTCAAACTACCAATCTAAAACATAAGAATACATTATTTATATCCAGAAATTTAATAAACATTAACAGAAATCCCTGGACAAAAAGATTTGAGGTTTGAATTCTTCTTTATATTTTTATCCAATGAATATAGTTTCATGTATTCAAAATTTAAAAACAGGAATTGGCTGCAAATGAACATGGGGGATCTTCTTGAAATAATGGAACTCAAACTGGATTTTGACAATGGCTGCCAAACTCTCTAAATTTGCTAAAATACCATTATATACTTAAAATGGGAGGACTTTATGGTATGTAAATTATGCCTGAAGAAAGCTGTTTTTAAAAATAATATATACTTCATGTATTCCTAGCAATATACAAAAAGAACCCTAAAAGAGTCACGTTCTTTTCGTTCCTTTTTTTGAGACAGCGTCCTTCTCTGTTGCCCAGGCTGGAGGCGGTGGCACAATCACAGCTCACTATAGTCTCTACCTCCCAGGCTCAAGCAATCCTCCCCACCTCAGCCTCCTAAGTAGCTGGGACTATGGTGGGGGCACATGCCACCATGCCTGGCTGATTTTATTAGTAGTAGTACTAGTAGTAGTAGTAGTAGTAGAGACAGGGTTTTACCATGTTGCTGAAGCAGTCTTAAACTCCTGGGCTCATGCAGTCTAACCAGCTAGGCCTCCCAAAGTGCTGGGATTACAGGCATGAGCCATCACGCCCAGTTAAGCATCACAGTTTTTGATCCAGTAATCCTACTATTAGGAATTTATCCTAAGGAATAAAAGCTATCTGTTTATGCCCCTCCCCCACAAAAAATTTTAAATATTATAAAAGATGCTACATGAAAAGCTAAGAATACAAACAATAAAATGTGATGCTTCCTTACAGAAAGCCCCAGCCACATTCCATCCAGTGTTCTGCATTTTTGCTACACAGAACTTAGCAGCAGATATCTGCAGAGTGTACATCTGTAGTGAGTCTCACTCTTGTAGGTCCTGCTCAGTTACTGATTAAAGCCAGACATGGCTCAGGAATATCATTACAGAGAACTTTGCTTCCCCAAACAAGGGGTTTGTAAGTATAGAAACCCAGAATTTTTCATTACATAAAACTTAGAAGTTGGAACTAAAATTATAGTAAGACTATAGAAATGATCTAAAGAAGGTGTCACCAAACCACAGTCCATATGGGCCAATTCCTGCCCTCCACTTTTTTTTTAAATAAAGTTTTACTGAAACAGCCTTATCTACAATTTACATATTGTCTATGGCTATTTTAGCACTACAACCAGAGTTGAATGTGAGAGACCCTATATATGGTCTAAAGAGATGGAAATACTTACTACCTGACCTTTTTTTTACAGAAGAAGTCTGCTGATTATGGGAAAATATCCAATATTTCCCCACATCCCTCCACAAACACTCTGAGGACACACCTTCCAAAATATTATAATCTTGGCCATATGTAAGTGATGTATAAGCTCTTGATGATACATGGAGAGCCCCTTTAAATTTTTATCCTTTAAGAATCTGTATAATCTCAAAATTCAGAGCTTCTGAAGTCAAAATGATACCAAATACAAAAAAGTTCAGAGTAGTGATGCTATCCTTCCAATTTTTCAGTAAAATTCAAATCACAAAATATTTTTCAGAGTTCTATCTATTATTAGGGCAAATAACTGCATCTCTGAATGCCATTAACACATCTTTTTTTGAAAAGTTCTGAGCGTGTTGCCTTTGTTCTACTTCAGAGTATGGAAAGAAGGAAACATTAACATATATCAATACTACAAATGAGAAAATATATGCCTTTTAAAATGCTTAAGGGCTGTATTTAAAGGCGAGAAGAGGGAGAGGCCAAGATTTTTATCTCTGTCCTAACCTAGCACTATACCATACAATTAACGCTCAGGATGAGAAGCCCTCCCGAGATAACATACTGTCTGGTATTATTTACAATGACATAAAGATACGGCATCAGACTCGCCACACACAAGGTGCACAGTGCTGGCCGAACACCTGTCATGACAAGTCCACACGCTTAGGACTATGACATGCATGCACTGTTGCACATATGTTATGCTCTAAGAGTTTTGCCTATCCCTAGTCAGAAAAATGGGAAAAAAAAAAAAAGGGAAAGAAAAACCCTCCTGCTTTTTTTGTTAAGCTGCCAGTGTTATATTCATCATTTCAGTAAATCTGACAAAAAAAAATAAAAGCCAGAAAGATCTCAATGCATTCAAGCTAGGTTTTCCACTTGTTACATATTTCCAGCATGAAGGGCCACATGAAGAAGAGACCCTTAGTGTGGCTGTAATAACTGAGAAAGAATGCCAGTTTCCTCTTCTCCCAAGGACTTGGCCCTAGAGCTGCCACCTCTCATTGCTGGCAAGGCTCCTTCATGAGCAACTTGGCATTCCTAACACAGCAAGAGTTCTCCAAAGCCTGCTCAATCAAGTCCTTCCCATTTCTGTCTTGACAGTTTCAGAAGTGACAGAATCGAGATACCCTCAATACCTACCATAGGGTGCCCCACTGCCATTCTCGCTTGCACTGCTTGCAGCTTGCTGCTGCCCTTGCAGCACCGTGCTGCTTGGCTGCTCCCGGCAGACATAGATGGTTAAACGGGGCCTAACTGACCTGCAATCAGAAGATGCCACTGATGAGCCTGGGAGAGAAAGCTGCCTTACACATGTACAAATGTGACAACTACAGGAATCTAAGTTCTATTTCCTTATGAGAACTTTATAATGTTATTTCGTTATACAAAATAATTTACTAATAAAAATATAAAAACCACACACCTCACACCAACTATCACAGGTGGTCTAATATGATGATCCAGACTCTAAACCATTGAGATGGTCTGTCAGATGCTGGTAAATTTAAGTTTCAAGATTAAGTCAGCAAATTAAAAATCAGTAAGATTCAATTTTAATGGAATTCTCACACCACAAGTATAGAAAGAGCAATGATAGTAAATGGTTCTTACAAGCCAGCACAATTTACAGTTTCTGTCATTTTAATTCACAATTAGTTTACATTTTTAATAACTGTTTAGTAATAGTCATGACCTTGAAAACCATAGATTCTGTATAGCTCACCTAAATTAGAAGTTTTGTTTTCTTGGCAACAAACCCAGTCGTCTTCAAGAAATCAGTACTGCCCATGTGCATTTCTACCAGTCTTACAGTCTACCTCTGCCCTCATCAGTGCCTGCATCATATCTGGGCCTGCCCTGAAGGTGTACACAAAACAGTCTTCTTGTGAGCACAATGCTGCCAATGCTCGATGGCGCACACAGGCACACATGCCAACCTAGCGTGGAAACACATTCTGCCCAAAATCCCCACGCGAAGAAAGGTACATTCTTATTTCAAGCAAAACAGTTCACAGTATTTTACCTTGACTTCAGTGAATTATAGAGCCGAATTCCATCGGCTGCACCACAAATTTGAACTAAATCCTCCTTTGTCAGTTTTAATAAGTCGGCACCTAGAAAAGAGCAAAAATATTTTTCTCAAATGGAAAAAGAACAGAACTGCTTTACAGGCATCTGTCTTCATGCAGTCCAATGTCCTTCAAAATAATGATAGATATCCTGAATATACACATATACATGAACAATACAAAAAGACAGACACCTGTCCTTCAGAGCCAAGGAAAATGCTGGCTTTTCCATGTCCTGTATCAAGAAGGAGCTTAGAAGTCCAGAGGCCGATGAATCAAATCAATGAGTGTCGGGCCTAAAGAACTCTTCCCAATACAAGATTTCACTCATCTACCTTATTTAGTGACTGGGTTGTGGCTACGTGAAGAAACATGATTCTGACCCACCCCATAGAAACAAACCCTGAGATCACCCAGGCCGATCAATCTTTAATTTCACAAAAAAGGAAATGGAAGTCCAGAGTTTGTGGGACTTGCCTAAAGTCTGTAAGAGTTGGTAGCCGAACTAGGACTGGGCCTCTTTATACTGAAATGTGCAATGTAAAGTCAAACATTCTATAACATAAACAACTGTCACAGCAGCCTTTTAACAGAAGAATGGCAGAGAATCACACATTATACCCTAAGATTTCCCCCAAGCACATCCTACTTACAACATCATTTACAAGTGTAAATGTCTCTCTGTACAGGTTTCCTATAGCACCACCTAGAGAAGCAGTGTTTGACACTTTTAAAAATTCTATCTAAACACTTCCTTCGCTTACTATAGAAGAAAAAAAACTTACACATAAGTATATGGAAGCCATACCTGAGTACATAGACACCATGGACTACTACTCAGTATTTCAAGCATAAATGATACAGCATCTAGGATTTGCTCTGAAATACAACAGAGGGCAGGACAGGAAATAATGGAGAGCAAAACTGACCAAATGCTGGTAGTTTTTGAAGCTAGGAGATGGCTGCATGGGAGTTAATCATATTCTCTCTACTTTTTAATGTCTGAATTTATCCATAATCTTTTGTTTTATTCTCTAACAGCTAGGATACAGTTTATTGGGGGAATTAAGATGAACTTTGGGATGAAGGCTTGATTTCCATATGATAAATAGCCACTTACATATGTAAGAAGATAATGAAGTCATCTTTCTATTTTTTAAAAGCTCAAATGCGAGAGCCTACTAAATTTCTAGTCTGTAAAACAAGATCAGAGAAGCATATCTCCCATGAGACAAGAGCATTATTAGAGTCATTTTATAGAGTCAGGTAGGCAGAGAGGCTCTCTTTCATCTCTCCACTGGGGCTTACTACATGCACCTCACAGTTGTGAGCAGAGAGTACTGTGTATGTGTGTGCACACCCTTAACCCATACGGAGAACTGGACAGGTAACTGCATGTACAACCCATCCTGAAATGTGAATGCCCACAAGGATCACAGCAAGAAGACTCACTGCCCTCCTCACCATGCTACTGTCAGTGCTCTGACTCCAGAGATGTGCCAAGAGCGTACCATGGCTAGCTCCTCACCCACTTTCTTGGAAGAAGCCCCCAGGAAAAGGAAAAGGCAGAAGGCCGCGCCATGTGATCACTGCTTACAGCGAAAAGGGCTTAAAACTCACCAGATAGAAACATGGATCTGCCTGATACAATAGGAGTAACGTGGGGCCTCCCTCAGTTCCAAACGTTGGCACTTTTTCTATGTGCTACGCTTTTCATCTGCCTTCCATACAACAGTGCAAGACAAACCCCAGCATCCCCACCCTGAAATTTTACAATTTTTAGTTTTTTACACATAAAAGGCTTTACTTAATCATATAAAAATGTAGTCCCCAGCTAGCAAATGACTTCCACCTGGAACTTTAATTTTAAAGAGACAAAGAACTACACGGGGAATACCTACTCATTGCACAAACATTACAATACGTGGCATAGTAAGAAACCATGTTCTTTGCAAAATCAAGCTTTTCTTCAGGCTGAGTGTGTGCACACACAAGTTCTGTCCTCTTTTTTTTTTTTTTTGAAGTGGGGTCTCCCTGTCGCCCAGGCTGGAGTGCAGTGGCCGGATCTCAGCTCGCTGCAAGCTCCGCCTTCCGGGTTCACGCCATTCTCCGGCCTCAGCCTCCCGAGTAGCTGGGACTACAGGCGCCCGCCACCTCGCCCGGCTAGTTTTTTGTATTTCTTAATAGAGACGGGGTTTCACCGTGTTAGCCAGGATGGTCTCGATCTCCTGACCTCGTGATCCGCCCGTCTCGGCCTCCCAAAGTGCTGGGATTACAGGCTTGAGCCACCGCGCCCGGCAAGTTCTGTCCTCTTAAAGGGATTCACAAAGTTGTGTTTTAATGGCCCTACTGCACTGCAGGTGAAGGAAAGCTACCTACCACTTTACTGTGATCCAGCACTTCTCAGCATGTTTGGCCAGGACATGTTACTAGGTGGTCACGTTGGAAAAGACTCCCAGAGCCAAATATATTTGGGAAATGCTACCTCTGCCCCACCTGGCAGTATCTATTACTGTCCCTCTAAACAGGTTTCCTGTAGCACTACCTGGAGAAGCAGTGCTTGATAGCTTTTAAAATTCCTTCTTAACATTCGCTTAGCTTACTGTGCAAGAAAAAAACACTTACACATAAGTATATAAAAACGATAACTGAGTACATTCAGACTATGAAACACTACTTAGCAATAAAAAGGATTAAACTACTGATACACACAACAACTTAGGTGGCCATTATGCTACTGAAAAAAAGCCAATCTCAAAAGGTTATGTACTATATGACTGCATTTATATAACATTCTCAAAATGACAAAATTATAGAGACAGAATATAAAGTGGTTGCCAAGGATTAGGGATGGTAGGGGAAGGGTGTCGGTGTGATTCTAAAGGGGTAGCAGGAGGGAGATCCTTGCAGTGATGGCATAATTCTGTATCTTAACTGTGGTGGTGGTTACAAAAATCTATACCATAACATACATTGTGCCAATGGCAATTTCCTGGTTTTGCTACTGTACTATAATTATGTGAGAAACGGAGTGAAGAGTACACCAAAACATCACTGTACTAGCTCTGTAACTTACTGTAAAACAAAAATCATTTCAAAATAAAGTTAAAAAAATCATGTAAATCTATATACACGTACACACAAATGAGGGCACATAAGTCTGGTAAAACTGTTGACTGAACCAATGTCAATTGCCTGGCTTTAATAGCATATAATAAAAATACGAGATATTCCTATTGGGGGATAGATATAAAGAACTTTTCTGTGCATTTTTCTTTGCAACTTCAAAATTTAAAAAATATAAAGTTAATAAAAGCACAGAAACAAAAACAAAACATTCTCATGCACAGATACACACACACATACACATACCTGAAAAATTAGAGAACAGTCTTGTGTAGGAAGAGAATCTGTTTTTGAGTAGCCATTGTTGCGTCTCCTGGATCGTAGCTGAAGGCTGAATTTGCTATTAACAATGAAAACGAACATAAATAAAAGGAACCATTCAAACTGAGAACACTTAAACAATTGACACAGAAAGCCTCGGAGTTTGAAGTAAAAAACACCCAAAAAGAGCATGAGTCTGACTCCAACAATCCAAATAATGACGCAGGCCCTTGTCAGAAACTTAAACATGATACACAATGGGATGCTATTCAGCCATTAAAAAAAGAGAAAAATCATGCAGCTGCTAATGAAATCATCTTTTGCAGCAACATGGACAACATGAACACTTCATTGCCTTAAGTGAAATAAGCCAGGCACAGAAAGACTTATATTCTCACTTATAAGTGAGCTAAAAAATTTGAACACATTAAGGTAGAGGTAAGAGAGTGGAAAAATAGGTAACAGAAACTGGGAAGAATGGGTGAGGGATAAGAGACAGGATGAGAAGAACTGGATTAAAGGGTACAAACAAACATACAATAAAATAGAAGGAGTAAATTCAATATTTGATAGCAGAGTACAATGACTATACCTAAAAAAAATGTACTGAGGTGATGGACACCCTAAATATCCTGACTTGATTACCACACATTATATACATGTAACAAAACTTCTCACCTACTCCATAAATTTGCACAAAAAAACAAAACTTTAAAATGTAGGACCCTGAAAGCATCAGATAGTTTTTAGTAGAAAGATACTTACTTCACCAGAGGCCTGTGAAGCTCCATCTCCCTGATGATTTGGGGAAGAAGAATTGCTGGGGAGAAAGGAGAAAGCAGGAAATTATGATTTTTGTAATGCCTATGTGTTTTAATCAAGGCATTAAAAACTGTTTATGCAAATTTCAAGTAAGGCAACAGTGGGAGAGAGCTATGAAAGTTTGCAACAAAAATGCAAGCACAACAGCTTAGGGTGTGGATATGATAACGAAATAAGACACAGAAGACTGTGTCTTAATTTGTGCCTTCTTCATCTGTTCTAGTAAGAAATTCAAGTTTTGTGAAACAAAAAGGCTTCCCCAGTTATCTTCGGGGATGCCAAGGAAAATGAAGGATACACATTAATTTTTTTTGAGACAGAATCTCGCTTTGTCGCCCAGGCTGGAGTGCAGTGGCGGGATCTCAGCTCACTGCAAGCTCTGCCTCTCAGGTTCACGCCATTCTCCTGCCTCAGCGTCCCAAGTAGCTGGGACCACAGGCGCCCGCCACCGCGCCCGGCTAATTTTTTTGTATTTTTAGTAGAGACAGGGTTTCGCTGTGTTAACCAGGATGGTCTTGATCTCCTGACCTTGTGATCCACCCGCGTTGGCCTCCCAAAGTGCTGGGATTACAGGCGTGAGCCACCGCGCCCGGCCTACACATTAATTTTTAAAAGTTAGGGGAAAAAAATACAAAACATCAAATTAGATAAAACAGTTGAAAATAATTGCAAAAAAAAAAAAAAAAAAAAAAAGAGCTACAAGAAATAGTATAATGATCCTAAGCAAAAATATAAAATTATACTCCTTTAAGTAATACATATATCCAAGATTGATGAGGGTGAATTTCAAGAGAACAAAAGAAATTAACCTGTACCACTATCCTTGTGCTTCTAAGTAAAATGAAATGAGAACTCCACAGGGAATAGGGCTACCTTCGGGCTCTTGAGCACCAACTCCTTTCTTAGCCCCCATGCCTCAACTGCTTAGGTTTATTATCTTGATTACTTATATCCTTTCTACCCATAAGAACTTAAGCTCCTTCATACGGGGGTCTGTCTGTTTGGTCACTAATGTATCGGAACACTTAGTACAGTGCTGGGAACACAGTGAGTTCTCCAGCCTACTAGTGAGTACATAAACTTACAGCTCACCTTTAAAGCCATAATCATTTTCTAAGATTATTCAGACTGGACTGACGAGGAAACTATTCTAAGCCCTCAGAAATAGTAACCTACTGGTCCTCTGGTCACTCCTCTAAGTTGCTGAGTCCAAGGGTATTTTTCTACTCTTAAAGCATAATAGCCCACATGACACCAAGCTGCCTTCTCAGTTTATCCATCTCCTCAGAGGGAGAGCACATTTTTGCTTGCTTTCTCATCAGACCTTGTCAGCATGACCTGAGAACCTTTTCCTTTGTGGTCTTAGCTTTCATAATTTTCCTCCCCAACAAGAAACTTCCTAAAAAATAGGGAACTTCTGATGTGAATTATTCTGCATCAGTTCTGCAGCAAAGCCCTGGAATGGAAAGCCTCCATGGGGTACCACTGCACCTTCAAGATGCCCAAATGCAGTCTCCTGCTGCCACCCCGAGCTCACTCTAAACTCTTGCCAGTCAAGGCTGGATAACAGAATAAAGAGTCCACCATTTCCATTTCTAAAACCACAGCAAATCTGTAGAAACAGAAAGGTCTTCCCTTAAAGATTCAATTAAAAAAATAGTGTATCTATTGGGAGAGAAAAGAAATACTGCAGAAAATAACCCATTTGATATAAGCATTATAGACAAGAGAATGAACTTAGTAACAAACTGACTTTGTCATTCTCTCTTTACCTATAGACACTATTAATGTTGTCTTTAATCTCACAAAGAATGTATCTTGGCTATATCTTGAAAATGGCCCCTTGTCTACAATTACCATAGTTGTGACTATGTAAGGCACAAGGGGCTTGGAGTAAAAAAGGCTGGTAGGCGAAGAAAAGACAATGATTGTCCTCTGCCACTGAGATACAGGCTATCTCCCCTTACTATTTCCTTCAGGTACAATATAAACAAAAGGCTGCTGTACATGGAGAGATGGGGAAATGAAGGCACATGATTATGCAAACCAGATACCTGTCTGGGACACTGCAAGTGCTCTGCTGTGGGGAGGTGAAAGTGGGCGCTGGGGAAGGGCTGTTATTCACATAGGCTGTGGGGGCATCGGGCCACGGAGAACACTAAGGACAGAAACAGAAATAAATTAATGATATGCTTTTAAAATATGTGGAAGAAATATTTTTGTAATTCACTCACTAGCCAAATGCAAGATTATAAAATGCGAGACAGCTGACATTTATCAAGCAACCTCACAGACACATGTCAAATTTACTTCTGTGTGGCAAACAAAAGTTTTACCTGCTGTGTGCGTCTAGACACTGATTAAAGACCTAAAGTGATGACAGCAGCAAAAATTTATAAAGGCATTTAAAATATATGCTTAAGTATAATTTGCTTTCAAGAGCTTTCTCCTCCCTCTTTACCAGTATCCTCTTTATCAGTTTCCCAACAGGCACCTATCAAGATTTAAGAATGGCGAAGACAAGAAAGAATTTATAAGCAACATCTGACATCACATGGTGACCTGAAACATGGCTCTGACCTAACTAGTGCTCCTTTTGCCCTCTTCCCCAATGAGCAGCCTCACCAGTACCCATTTGCTTCTTTGATACCTCTAAAGAGTAATAATCCTCAAGACAGACCAGACAGGCCAAGCATCAAAATACATCAACTGTGTACAGTACTGCCTCTCTCTCTCTCTCTCTCTCTGTTTTATATTTTCTGGAAGTGTTATGGTAAACTTTAGTATTTTTCAGCTCCAGGCAAAATTCTGACCAGAAACAGAACAAAGACACGGAGATACATGAACTATTACAATTAGGAGAGTTGAAAAAGTCAAAGTCAAAAGCATGCTAAGCATGCCAGGGTAATCTCAAATAGAAGTCTTCAAACTTGACATATAGACATCACATGATGTGATTTCACTGTACAGGTATTCTTTCTAAAAACCAATGGATCTGAGGACTCAGTTTCAAGGGTCCCCTTTCATAATCATCCTTCTCTCATTTTACACAAGACAGGCATCACATCTAACCATAGCCTTGGGGTTTAAGACTTTCCCAGGCTGGACATGGTGACTCATACCCTTAATCCCAGCACTTTGGGAGGCCAAGGCAGCAGCCCAGGATAGCTCAGGATAGCTTGAGTTCAAGACCAGCTTGGGCAACATAGTGAGACCCTGTTTCTACCAAAAAATAAAAACAATAAAATAAACATGAGGCTGGGCGCAGTGGCTCACGCCTGTAATCCCAACACTCTGGGAGGCTGAAGCAGGTGGATCAAAAGGTCAGGAGATTGAGACCATTCTGGCTAACATGGTGAAACCCCATCTCTACTGAAAATGCAAAAACTTTGTTGGGCATAGTGGCGCACGCCTGTAATCCCAGCTACTCGGGAGGCTGAGGCAGGAGAATCGCTTGAACCCGCGAGGTGGAGGTTGCAGTGAGCCGAGAACATGCCACTGCACTCCCGCCTGGGTGACAGAGTGAGATTCCATCTCAAAAATAATAAAAAATAAATAAATAAATAAATAAAATGAAGAAAGACTCTCTCAAAGCCAAGCTAAAGACACTAAGATTAAAAAAAAAAAAAAAATAGCCAGGTGTGGTGGTGCACACCTGTAGTCACAGCTACTTGGGAGTCTGAGACAGGAGAATCACTTGAATCCGGGAAGGGGAGGCTGCAGTGAGCCATGACTGCACCACTGCACTCCCGCTTGGGTAACACAGTGAGACCCCCATCTTGAAAAAAAGAAAAGTACATAACTCTAATGACTAAGTTTTTCTGTAAATAAGGTGATTTTCAACTATTTGCTATCAAAATAATTCAGGAGGACCTATTGTCAACTGACATATATTGAAATAATCTAGTAGATCACACAAAAATGTCCCTGGGATTTTTGACAGATGATTCAAAAGGACTTCCAGGACCTAAATGGCATTGCTGAAAGAAAAAACAAAATTTCTCATATCTATAAAATTCTAGAAGTTAATTCTACTCTGTCTCATCATTCAAGATGCACTTCCAATAATATTTCTATTTTTACATTTAATAAATTTTCATCACAATCTGTAGGATTTGTTGTTTTGATAAATTGGTACTAATAAGTTTTAAATATCTTGACCGAGTTAAGACGCTATGGTCATAGCAAATTTTAAAAATTAAATTTCAATTTATGTAAATTTGTTGAAAGGTAATTTTTTGGGGGTGATCATTTAAAAATTTCAGTTTGGTCATCTGAAGCCTCAGGAGGAAAAAATAAAAATAAATAAGAAAAAAATTTTTAAAGATTTTCAGGCATAAAACTATGTCATATTAAGATAAAATTTAAAGGGAGTGAATTAGAAACATGAGACCAAGAAGGAAGAACAGAGTAAAATTTTGGATTTAATGAATTTTTTGAATGAACAATAGCAGTGGTCAAACTGCTATGGCATTTAGATTCCATAGGATGCACCTCAAGAGTAATGTTACAATTTTATCTTAAATTGTAAATACAAATCGCCACCATGCCAGAACATTGCTTCCTTTGCAGCTATTTAAATTTATGATGAAAAATTTTATGATGAAAACTTTCAGATGTCAATCTGGAAAGGTGCAAGTGTATCCTTTCTCAAAATTCTTTTGAGGCCAGGCATGATGGCTCATGCCTATAATCCCAGCACTTTCGGAGGCCAAGGTGAGAGTATCATTCTGAGGTCAGGAGTTGGAGATCAGCCTGAGGAACACAGCAAGAACCTGTCTCAACAAAAATAAAATTTAAAAAGTACTCAGGCATGGTAGTGTGTGCCTGTAGGCCTAGCTACTCAGGAGGCTGAGATGGAAGCATCACTTGAGCTAAGGAGTTTGAGGCTGCAGTGAACTTTGATCACATTACTGCACTCCAGGCCCAGGTGACTAGGCAAGACACTGTCTCTAAAAAAATTTTAAAATTATTTTGAGTAGGTAAGTGTCAAGACCACAGGTTTTGTAATGGAGCTAAGAAACTGTGAAGCACACTGAGGGCAGAAATTAAGTCTCACCAATGGTTACAGGGGCTTAAAACGCTTGTCTGACATCCATCAAAAGCAATGGATACATGGAAAATAATCTCAACTACCCAATTATTTATCCCCTTAAAAATAAGAGAAATGACTGCAGACTTATTAGTTCTATTACCAGTCAACTTTCAAAAAAGAAATCTAATTTAGCTGGAGAGCTTTGAATAAACTTATTGCATGGCATACCAACTTTGCTATAAAATACATTTTACACAACAATGCCCATTCTTTTAAAAGTACGGCCTTTTAAGCCAGGTGAGATGGCACACACACACCTGTGGTCCAACTACTCAGAGGTCTGAGGCAGGAAGACTGCTTGAGGAGTTGGAGGCCAGCCTTGGCAACACAGCAAAAGCCCATCTCAAAAAAAAAAACCAAAACAAAAAACTAGACCCTTGTTTTTCTTTCCATCTTATAAAGTATCACCTCCTCAGTTTACACTGTTTGATAAACCCAAGACCCTGTGAGCTGACTAGCAAATCTAATCATGGGCATCACACACTGTCACCTCACCTCTACTATCTGAAAGATTTTCCTGCTGCAACATCCCCTCCACACGTAAAATATAACACAGCATAACATGCACATATAAATAATGTAAACCATTTAATATTAAAAGTATCAAGTCTCTCTAAACTTTTGGTAATTATTGCCAGCCATTTGAAGAAATGAAGTCATCAAGAAGCTTCAAGTTAGCATGGCAGAGTAATGTAGAAACACCAAGTTTACCAAAACTCCATAAAATTTTGCTTTTAGGTATTTAGATTCTTCTAACATTCGAAAAGCAAGCAATGGTGCAGTGCCTATGCTCCTGAAGATAGTCTGTAATTCATAATGGTGCCAGCAATGCCTGGCCTGTGCTCATAGTTATGGTTTCAGTACACCATGAACACAGTCCCTCCCCAGGTTAAGAATGATCACCCATTTTAGGCTGTAGAAATTGGCAGTCATCATTTGAGCCAATCATATACAGCTCAGAGATGAAGACCAACAGACACACTAAGAGTTTTATTGTACAGCATCTCCTGGTAACCAGTAGTGACTATTCAGTGTGGGACCATTTCATTCGGCATCTTTTCGACTCTAACAGTAAATCTGGATATCCCTTTTTACTGAAAGCCAACTGTAACAAGACAAAAACTCTATGAAACGTTGGCCTTCCTTTGTAGAAATTTGAAGAAACATGAAATTCTGCAAACTTTCTTTTTTAAGGGATCAATCTATACCCTGCTTTTTTAAAAACAGGTTTTCAAAATGAGCTCTAACCACCCCTAGAAGCATCTGAACAAAATCAAATACAGCCAGGGCAGCAAGCAATACACGACGAAGATGTGAAATCCCAGGCCAGTGAACTGCTGACGTTTTGCATACTTTAGACTTGAGTTAAGAATCATTAAGAATTTACCAACAGTTTTCCCATCTTCAGATTACATCTGGGCTATAATGAATTTCTTTTATTTAGGAATTACCAGAACCCACTTCTTTACTAGTTAAATGGTTTATAACAGGAGAGGAAAAGTGAGTTACCAGAATCCCCCCGCACAAAGAAGTTTACTAAGAACCATTGGTGGGTCTTCAGCTGGGAAATCAGAAAAGGATAAAAACAAAATTGCTGTGGTGGGTGTTTTAGGAAAGAATATACAGCTGTTTTAACAATCTTTGATTTGAATTTTTTTTTTTTTTAAAAAAAAGCCCAGTTAAAGAAAATGTAATGTGCACTTCCAGTGGCACTAGGATGAGTACAATTTCAATTTCATTGCATAGAGAAGCACTAAAACATTTTCATTCAATACTATAATTGGAAATGAGTTTCTTGTGATAGTGCTTGTGACAGTAACATTCAAAGTCTACATTTAACCACAGTAATTGTGATATGTGTAAGAGTGAAAAATCCTCTGGCACTTTAATAGTGCAAAGACTGCAACAGTGAATACAGCAGTCATGAATACATATGATGACAATTATTTTAAATGATTCTTTAATGTTCTGTGTTTACATTTACTGAAGGTATGTAGCTGAGCTAAGTTTGCAAAGCAGGATCATCCTTTGTGGACTAATAGATGAAGAGTCATGTCATAAAATAAAGATTTGCTATACTTAACCGGACAAACCACATATTCAACCAGATGACCCTGACTGCATATTGAGGGGGACCCAGGTCTAAGTGTAGCAAGGTACACTACTTTGGCCCGAAGCATTAATTCGCAATGCAAGTGCCAAGAAGAAACATGAATCCCATCAGTTTTTTTCTTCTACCAGTGCTGCCAAACAGGCTTTTAGAAGCATAGACAGACACACATTTTTATGCTACATGCAGAAAAATGTGACAAAGAACTGCACGTGTTAATGTCAAGCTTGCTGCCATCATCTAACTGTCCACAAAATTTTCTTATCAAGTATACATATGAGAAAGCAAGACCCTTTTCAGTTACACAAAAATAATAGCTAATTTACTAAAGAAAGTATTTTCAATTAATTTCAGTGCTCTTGAAGGAGGTGTGTGTGTGGAGGAGAGAGAGGGGGGGAAGGAGGAAGGGAAGGAGTCAGGGAGGGAATACATATCTCTGAGTGTCTTTTTTTCCCTCCAAAACCACCCAATATGGTCAACATTGTTTTTTGCTTTGTTTTAAAGTGTTAGATTTAGGAAATTTTCCTCAGTGAGGAACAAACAGAAGCAGGAAGTCTAAACAAAAGCAAATTAAATCAAGACATGGACATCAAAAACAATTTTGGCTTTACTTTGCGGTGGAAGTTGGTCCTATATCTAACACTGCACAAGGTTTCTTGCACAATGAAAAGAGAAGCAGAAGTCCCTTACACTGCCTCGCTTTGCCAGAGAATCACCGTAGTCTGCTGGCAAAGTCCGCTTGCTGGACTTTTTCTGCTCATGTTCAACTGCATCTTCAATTATAGGCTCAAGCCTCATCTGGACAAACACCAAAGATTGGGATCAATGTCTTTTCATTATACAAAGAAAGATCTAACACCCTGTTTCATGTCTCTTCAGTCCAATTAAACAAATGTATGACTAACAGGATTCAAAGTTAAAGAAAATGCAAAACCCCAGCAGTGACAAAAATTGGACTTTCTAGGCCCCAACTTAAGTCTCTTGCCAACTTCAAAGTTTTTAAGGTCTGTTTCTAAGACCTCATTGGGATTTCAGCATCTTCATTTAAGATCCCACCCAGGAAACAGTCTAACAAAATCCCCAAATTTAAATATTTTCCCCACAAATTTCACAAACAATAACGTGTCAAACTGCCACCCAATCTTCCCCAACCCTTTTGTAGCAAAACTCATCTTAGAAATAGACTAATATGCAACCTTTGCTTCTCTTCCAAAACCAAATGCTGCACTACATTACCTCTGTGAGGATTGTGGTATCATAGGACGGCTGATACTTTTCTTTTTCATGAGCTGTTCTCTTCTCCATCTTCTCTCGGTCAGTTTTTTGTTTCCTGTCTGCACCTTTAGGCTTAAAAACAAAGTATACTATTTCATCCATCAGGTTGCAGACACACAGCTTTATAGGCAAAACTGAGCCTTAATTACGGAAAACCCGGGTTCTCTCTCTTACCTTAAAAACTTTGATTTGGCAGCTAGCTGAGTGTAGATGATCTGTGTATTCCCCGTTTTCGTTCTGCTTAAATGTGTCAACCTGGATCCTAAAGGGCACTCCCTTTTCACCTCCGTGCTTCCGTGGAGTAAATTCTGTGCTGATGCAGTGTACCTATAAAACGATTCAGGCTGAAATGGATTCAAAGACCTACCACTGGTTATTTTTCTATTTTGTTCCCTCTTGAGTGACCTGACACCACTATAAATTCAAGATCCTTTAAAATGAACTCATCACACGTACTAGCCAAATTATCTATGAACCTCTCTAATTGTTTTTAAGATATGGCTTCCCTCTCACAAATCCAGCTGAGCCTCTCCAGACTTTCTGAGCTCTTGCCCATCACAATGCCTTGCCTCTAATGCAGGACTTGGCTCCAATCAGGGGTAGAACACTACAGTAGCTTCCTATGTATACTGCCCACCTCCACCTGGGACTGTCTGCTAATCTCAGACCCAGGGTCCTAAGCCCTGTTCAATCCACAGCAATCTTCACCTCATCATTTAGAGCTTCTGTTGTTTGTCCTCTACTGCCATTAGCCCTGCTCTACCCAGCCAACCATCTTACTGCCGTTCCTACAGACACTAATTTGTGATACTTTGCCTGGGGAAATTTCATAGTCCAGAAAGCCCACTACCCATACTATTCTGTATCCATCTAAACTCTTTGGTCAACTCTTCAAAGACTATTCAGGATCCAGAGGGCAATACTCATCCTTCTACCACTCCTGCCCTGTCTCCTAATACCCACCCTGGATGACATCCTTAGGGTTTCACACAGAGTTAACAGCAAGACCTTGGGCATTTCTGACTGCTACACATCCCCTCTTCTAATGACTCACTATTAAAACTGATCTCTGCAATATGACAATACAACCTGAGATGTAAAGCCAGGTCTTGTATCAGTCTGATTTACTACATAACTAGTTGCCTTATAGACAAACACCAACAGTATGAGTTTATATCAATATTTGGCTGATATAAACCATGCCCCCAGTGATTTAACTGATGGAGAATAATATTGGTAGAATACCAAAAGGCAAAATACAAGTTATTTTTTACAGTTCATGCAAAGCATAGCTTATGTAGGCTGGTCAGCCAGTAAGTGGTTTTCCTCTTGTATATATTACCTACCTGGTAGTTTAAATTTCACCACATACAAATTTGAACATTCTGGGTATTAGAATTACTATTTTTTTAAAATATAGAATAATGATATTATAGTTACTTTTAAAAAATCATCTCTTAGAGACATGATATTTATGGATGAAATAGTATGTCTGAAACTTGCTTTAAAGTACTCTAACAGGCTGGGCATGGTGGCTCACACCTGTAATCCCAGCACTTTAGGAGGACAAGGCAGGCGGATCACTTGAGGTCAGGAGCTCAAGACCAGTCTGGCCAACATGGTGAAACCCCCATCTCTACTAAAAATACAAAAATCAGTCAGGCATTGTGGTGCACACCTGTAATCCCAGCTACTCGGTAGGCTGAGAGATAAGAATTGCTTGAATCTGGGAGGCAGAGATTGCAGTGAGCCAAGATCAAGCCACTGTATTCCAGCCTGGATGACAGAATGAGACTCCATCTCAAAAAACAAACAAACAAAAAACCGTGCTCCAACAATAAAAGGGGGAAGAAACTACAAAAAACTGCTAAAGCCAGGTGACAGTTACATGGATAATTAATCATCATTATTATCCTATTTGTAGAGGTTTGAATTTTTCAGTATTAGAATGTTTTTAAAATAATGCTTGAAGGAATTTTAAAACCTCAATCTTTTTTCAATTGTATCCTCTTAAATGGCAACTTTTGTTCAAGAGAAACACATCTCATGAAAAACAGACATTTTCATTATTGGGATTACTAGTGGTAAAAATAACATTTGAATAATGCTTTTCATATCATAGAATGTTCATATATGTTAGTTTAAAATAGGATGAACTTACTAGATTAAACCTATCTATATAGAAAGACACTACAACACAGTTTACAAATAGGCATTTCAAGGAAATGATACTGTATCAAAAATTCAATCCTGCCATGACCTAAACAACTAGGTTAGTATGCTTCTAATAATGTAAAAATCCAAACCTGAATGAAAGCAGAGGTGCGTTTTGCTGGGTCCCACAGAAATTCAACCGCATTTAACTGGCTTGGATTTGTCCTTGTGTCAATTATTCCCACAGACATTGGAATATCTATGTTTTAAAAAGAAGTTACATAAAAACTCATCCACTTTAAATAACTTAAAAACTTACAACCTATTATATTCTAATGAAATAATTGTAACTGCTTTGAACTCTGTCCTTCAATGGTCTCCATGATCAACTTCCTCAACATGGAAACCTACCCTAAATAAGTATCATAGTTTCCCCTACCATGGTTTGTATTTCATTTTTTTAAGAATATGATAAGGCTGAGCGCGGTGGCTCACGCCTGTAATCCCAGCACTTTGGGAGGCCAAGGCAGGCGGATCACCTGAGCTCAGGAGTTTGATATCAGCCTGGCCAACATGGTGAAACCCCATCTCTACTAAAAATACAAAAATTAGCCGGATGCAGTGGCAGATGCCTGTAGTCCCAGCTACTCAAAAGGCTGAGGCACAAGAATCGCTTGAACCCAGGAGGTGGAGGTTGCAGTGAGTCAAGATCATGCCACTGCACTCCAGCCTGGGTGACAGAGCAAAACTCCGTCTCAAAAAAAAAAAAAATAGATGGTACCAGTTTACAATTAAATGGTTTCAAAATCATAGAATTCCAGGTTCACATTAGTTTAGCACCAAAAAGTTACTTGACTCTTTAACTATAAAACAACTCTCTCGGTTCTTTATAATATAAGGATGGGAAAAAAATAAAAAGAAAAAAATGTATACATGCATACATATATATATGTGTGTGTATGTATATATGGAAAACAACTCTAAAGACACAAGATCCTAGCCAGGCATGGTGGCGCATGCCTGCAATCCCAGCTACTCGGGAGGCTAAGGCAGGAAAATCACTTGAAGACGGGAGGTGGAGGCTGCAGTGAGCCAAGATCGTGCCACTGCACTTCATCCTGGGTGAGAGAGCAAGGCTCTGTCTCAAAACAAAACAAAACAAAAAAGACAAGACATAAAATCCACAAAGACCAAAACTTTCCCCACACAAGTAATTCATGATGCCCACATAACACATTACTGGGCATAGCTAAACAATGCCCTCATCTCCATGGTCTTGATCACTGCCTGTACCTAAATCAAGAAGTCTGTCTCCTGGGCGATTCCACTTCCATCCTTCAAGTTGCTGATGCTCTGTGTATTGTAGCCGTCTGTCATGGAATACAACCCTTATGATGCTCTGTGGAATAAGTGGGGAAAATGAGTACTTTTAAACTGCTCCAGCTAAAATGCAGGACCATTTCTACTTCTTATGTGTTAACCCATAGCAGTAGAACATACACAACCAGATTCTGTTTTAAACATTCCATAAGTGAACTCTTTTGCCCTTGGATACCTGGATTACGGTACAATTACTTGGTGCAAAGAATTATAACTCAGAAATTAAAATTATAAATAAAATGGTAACTTAGGTATTGATTTGATAAAATAATTTGTTATTGCAATTCAAAATTAAGGTTCTTCCCACTAAAATTAATGAGCAAGAATTCTATTCCTATAAAGAAAATACCAGATGCACACAGGAGTTATTAAAAATGAAAAGACAGAGACAGAGAAACCCAGGCACAATCGTAAAACTTTGTTAATTTAAAATAACAGTTAACAATTGAGTTTTTTTGGCTGGGTGTGGTGGCTCATGCCTGTAATCCCAACACTTTGGGAGACCGAGGAGGGCAGATCAGGAGGTCAGGAGATCGAGACCATCCTGGCTAACACGGTAAAACCTTGTCTCTACTAAAAACATAAAAAATTAGCCGGGCGTGGTGGTGGGCACCTGTAGTCCCAGTAGCCAATTAAAAGTAGCAATTTTTTTCTTTGAGATAGTTTAAAGAAGAGGCCAATGTGGGAGAAATTTATAAGGCTCAGTGGCTGCTTTATTCCATGCCCATCTTCCTCACCTGCACCCACACCTGCAGGGCCTGCCCAACCCATTACCCAGCACCCACTTCACACCTGACCACAGCAAAGCTCTCATAGTGATGGTGCATAGGCTAGTGGTGGCCCATAAGACACCAGTGCCAGTGGTTCACATTTGCTAGCCAGCTTGTCTCCAGACAAAATTATAGCACAGAAAATATCACAATTCTAATTGTTCCATATTCGGTGAGAACCATACTAAATACACATACTCAGATGAAAACAGTATGAGAATACAGATATTAGACTTCAGAGCTTTACTAAGCCCCATTCTAGGTCAGACTAAAATACTAAAGAAGATAAAAGGAGGATCAAAGTTAGGAAATTACAAGATATATAAGAAAAATTCTAGCATTGTATAGCTCTTTTAGAATTTGTCTAGCAGGTTTTCCAGTTTCTACCAGAAAACCCTACCCAAAAAAGAATGGAAAGGAAAACAGGAAGGAAAGAAAAGGAAGGGAGGAAGGGAGAGAAAAAGAGAGGGAGAAGGGAGGGAGAGAGGAAAGGAACTTCTTAAATGAAACGGGGAGAAAAATCTCATTATCTGAAAGTTCTCCCTAAAAGGAGATTGACTACATTTTCAGAACTAGCAACATGTGATGGGGCCCTAACAATAAGACTGAAAGAAAAAAACAGAACAAAAAAAGATGAAAACAGAACAATCAGAGAAAGCACATTGCTAAATATGTTCAGCACATTCAAGAAGTTCCAAAGCACCTTTGCAAACCTATCACTTGATCCCTAAGGTTCCCCCCAAAATTTAAGTAGCATAGTCGAAGATCCTAGGGCCAGTAAATAAAACTCTAGAAGTTTGAAGCATATTTTAGGGACTCTCTAGCTAAAAAAAGGATGTGATTTCCAAGAAGTTCATCCTGCAGTCTTTGGTAGCAGCAGACAGTAGCTCTTAATCCCAGACAAGCTTACAGAATATAACTGGATGCCTGGCACATCAACCAAAAATCATGCAGCTGGCTTATCAAAGATGAAGCCAATGTAAAGTGCTTTAAAAATTAACTGTTTTCAATCACTGAGCTAAATATTTAGATACTGATGCCTTCAGAATAAGTGGAATATACTTGTCTAGTATACTAACACTTAACTAGTGTCAGTGAAACATTTATTGGGCATTTATAAGTTAATGGTTTTGTTACTAACAGTAGTTCATTATGTCATAATGAGGTATCATTTTTCCCTTTATTTACTTGCACTAATTTTATGTATTAAATGTTTTTACATGTTTTAATTTGCAAGTAAATACTAGGAAGTTGAACTTAAAAGCAGTTATACAACTTAACCCTGCTATTCCAAGTTAATCTGACAGGTATTTCAACCAGCTTGCCAAAATATTTTAAGCATTAGGTATCACCTATCAGAGTAATTAATTATTCCTAAATCCTACCACCTATTCAGGGAACTGCCCTGGAAAGCCAGCCTGTCTCCACTGATAAATGACAAAGACAATTGTTTCAGAATTGATTTTCTTCAATGCCTTGATGGACACTGAATTTTGGCATTTGGTCTGGATGTCAAAGTTTGTTATATTTTCCTCAGAACACTGAATGGTCATGAATGAGGAACTGAGTTAAAATTACGAATTAGTAAATTCTATAATCCAGCATACACAAAAAAAGCACAAGGGGGAATAGATGAAACAAGACTGGTAAATTGTGGAGAATGTTGAAGTTGGCAGGAGAACTTATAAGAACTCATGATATATACCAGATATATTTATTATATACCACCATATGATGGATATATGTGGATTCATTGTACCATTTTCTTTACTTCTGGGTATGTTCAAATTTTACCATAATAAAATATTTAAAAAATTGTTCTAACATTTTTGGATCCAGTTTTAAAGACCTCAATATAGGGCCCATCAAATCCTACTAAATTTTATTATGGAGTTTACAATTAAAACAACTTTCCAACTCTTTTACACTGATACATTTAAACAAACAAACAAAAAAAACCCAGCATCTTACATCGTGACGGAGGCCCACTAACAATGAAGACAAAAGAAAAAAAAAAAAAAAACACACACAGGAGAAAGAAGCAAAACAGAACAATCAGATGAAAGCACACTGCTGAGTATGTTCTGCCACTTTCAAGAAGTTCCAAAGCACCTTTGGTAACCTATTCATTTGATCCCCAAGTAACCTTCCAGGTGCCCTCCAGGTACTGGGCAGCTGGCTTCCCAGACATGCCACATTAGTTTAACACACCAAATTTAGATTGCCTGAATCCAATTCCCACCACAAGGCTGCCCTTCCCATGTTTTACCCACCAAAAGGCCAGATCCACAGAGGGCAGTGTCTTTCCAAGTAGGATGCCCTCCACACTGAGGGCCCAGCAGCACCTGGGCCCTGACATGCCCCTCTGTGGGGAGATGGAAGGATCAAGAGAACTTGTCTCTTGCTAACACGTAGTCACATGAGGTTTCACCTTCCCCAATTAAGATTCTTTCATTAACCCTGCCCTGTAATGCTATGGAATTTATAACTAGCCATGATGTATGATGGATACAGGCTAGGAGGGGCTGGGGGCAGGGATGGTTCTGAAGATATATCCTAAAAGAACAGGTCAGCTGGAAAACAGCTATGCCTCCTACATCTAGGATGACTGACTTCTTAATTCAGATACATGGGTAGGGTGAACAGAGATTTCAATTTTTTTAATGAAATTTTACAAGGTAAAGGATTTTTTAAAGTTTTATGCCAACACTGACATTCTTCCCCATATTATCTTTTACTTTTAGAGAGGATTATAGTTTTTTGTGTGGTGGTGAGTTTTTTACCCCATAACTGCAACTAACTTTTCTATTGTTCCTTGACTTCCAAGGGTCTTTCACAATTACTCTACCCAATAACGGCTATAATTCCCATTTTACAGGTGAATAAACAAAATATAGCTCAAAAAGTTAAAAAGTTGTAATATAACAATTATTGAAGTGAAATTAATTTTTTTAAAACAAAAACTCATTCAATCACAGCAATATCCATTTGGGAATTAAAATGGACTGTCCTTACCTTTACTAATTTTCCACTGATCTCAGGCATATCACCCATTTTCCGATTATCCAGCATCCGAATTTCGTAAGACTGACCTATTTAAAGAAATTGTGTATAAAAAACAATCCTTATAAAGAACATCACTTTGCTTAACATAATTCAAAATGCATGTTTCTCAGAACATACATTACACAATGATAGTTAACTTGCTAGAGAAGCAAATTCAGGTTGATCCTTCTTTTCCCTGAAAAATCACACCAACCTTCTGTCCTTACATTATTACAGGAGACAAGAGTTTCTCTGTCAATTTATCTTCATCTGCCACTCTCTTACACTAAATTTTTATTATGCTTGCATTACCTAAGACTAATTTTTGTAACAGCTTTTCTCAGACATAGTTTACATACCATAAAATTCACATTTTAAAAAAGTACGTAATACATTAGTTTTCAGTATAGTCAGAGTTGTACAACCATCACCACTACCAGTTTTAGAACATTTGCATCATCCTAAGAGGAAACCTATATTAGTAGTCATTTCCAATCCCTCCCCCACACCCACCTCCCACCCCCGGCCCGGCCAACTGCTAGCAATCACCAATCTACTTTCTGTCTCTATGATTTGCCCACTCTAGATACTTTTATAAACAGAATCATACAATATGTGGGTATTTGTGCCTTGCTTTTTAAACTTAGCATAATGTTTTCAAGGTTTACCCATATGTAGTATGTGTCAGTCCTTTTTATTGCCAAATAATATTCATTCTTTTTTATTGCCTAATACTATTCCATTGTGTAAAGAACATACCAAATTTTGTTTATCCATTCATCAGTTAATGGATATTTGGGTTGTTTCCACTTTTAGTGTTCATTAGAAAACACAGACATTCACACATCAATCTAGATAATTAGGAAAATGCTGCAAAAAAAATAATAATGTACTCCAAATCCACAAAAAATGATTTCTGGATTATGTTATTAAATAATAAAAATGACAGTATAATTTGGCATGCAGAAAATCAGTAAAAATTAAAGAATGCTTATAATATCACATGAAGTTAAGAATCTTTATAACTACCAATACCTTGTCCATACTCCCAGGGGGCTTACAGAAAAATATATAAAGGATTCTAGAGTATAGGATCAAAATTCAACAAGGGGTTATCAAAATACAACTACATCACTCCAAGGCTGGTGAAGGAAAACAACATATATACAGTCTGTTACAAAGAAAAGTTGCTTACATTCATTCAACAGACAGAGAAACACTAAAATACACCTTTATGGCAAGAGACTTTAAAAAGTTAAACTAAGATACAGATTGGAAGAAGATATATGCAGTATATTTAACAATGGATCTGTATTCTGAAAACAGTAAGAAATAATTTTCAAAATGAAGAATACAAACTTTTGAAAAATACACCATTTATATTTAAAATTACACTCAACCTCACAAGAATTTAGGAAATAAAAATTAACAAAAGGTTTATGCTTATTATCAGCTCAATAAGAAATATTTATTATTTTTTATTTATTTATTTTGACAGGGAGCTGCGCTCTGTCGCCCAGGTTGGAATGCAGTGGCGCAATCTCGGCTCACTGCAATCTCCGCCTCCCAGGTTCAAGCAATTCTCCCTGCCTCGGACTCCCGAGTAGCTGAGATTACAGGTGCCCGCCATCACGCCCAGCTAATTTTTGTATTATTTTTTAGTAGAGACAGGGTTTCGCCATGTTGGCCAGGCAGATCTTGGACTCCTGACCTCAAGTGATCCACCTGCCTCAGCCTCCCAAAGTGCTGGGATTACAGGTGTGAGCCACCACACCTGGCCATAAGAAGTATTTAATTAGGCTGGGCCCGGTGGCTCATGCCTGTAATCCCAGCACTTTGGGAGGCCGAGGCGGGCGAACCATGAGGCCAGGAAATAGAGACCATCCTGGCTAATATGGTGAAATCCCATCTCTACTAAAAACACAAAAAATTAGCCGGGTGTGTTGGCAGGCGCCTGTAGTCCCAGCTACTCTGGAGGCTGAGGCAGGAGAATCGCTTGAACCCAGGAGACAGAGGTTGCAGTGAGCTGAGATCATGCCATTGCACTCCAACCTGGGCGACAGAGTGAGACTCCATCTCAAAAACAAACAAACAAACAAAAGAAGAAGTATTTAATTAAAAATCAAGTGGGCAAGTATGGGGGAGAAATAACCTTGAATAATGTACAGAATATAAATTAAAAAGTCTTTCTAAAAGGCAATGTGGCTGCACCTGTCAACAAATTAAATACTATGCCCTTTGACTCGGATTCTAATTGGTCAAGTAAAAAAAAAAAAAAAAAAGTGTCACAGAGGGAATATTTGCAAGATAAAGGGCTAATCTCCCCAGTACATAAAGAGCTCCTATAAAATTGTGAACAAATGGGCTGGGCACAGTGGCTCACGCCTGTAATCCCAGCACTTTGGGAGCCTGAGGTGGGCAGATCACCTGACGTTGGGAGTCTGAGACCAACCTGACCAACGTGGAGAAACCTCATCTCTACTAAAAATACAAAAATTAGCTGGGTGTGGTGGTGCATGCCTGTAATCCCAGCTACTTGGGAAGCTGAGGCAGGAGAATCGCTTGAACCTGGGAGGCGGAGGTTTCAGTGAGCTGAGATTGCGCCATCGCGCTCCAGCCCGGGCAACAAGAACAAAACTCTGTCTCCAAAAATTACTAACAAATGTCCAGTATCCCTAGAAGAAAAAAATGAGCAAATGAAATGGACATGTGGGGGTCCACAAAAGAAGGAAATGTCAACAGTTCTTAAACGTATTGAAAGACACTCAACTTCCATTAGAGAAATGCAAATTAAAACCACACTGAAATCATTTTTCACCTATCAGATCAGCATAAATCCGTCAGTTTTCTGCTATATTAGATGTAAAGTGTAACAGAAAGAAGAGTTGAGGATTACTCCCGATTTCTGATCAAGGAATTGAACAGTCACCATTTCCTAACCTCAAAGACAGGTAGGAGCTCACTTGAGACACAAAAATCAAGAGTTGGCCAAGTGGAGTGGTTCACACCTGTAAGCCTTGCACTTTGGGAGGTCAGGGCGGGCAGATTACTTGAGGTCAGGAGTTCAAGACCAGCCTGACCAACATGGTGAAACCCCGTCTCTACTAAAAATACAAAATTAGGCTGGGCACAGTGGCTCACGCTTGTAATCCCAGCACTTTGGGAGGCTGAGGCAGGAGGATCACGAGGTCAGGAGTTTGAGACCAGCCTGGTCAACACAGTGAAACCCTGTCTCTACTAAAAATGCAAAAATTAGCTGGGCGTGGTGGCAGGCCCCTGTAATGCCAGCAACTCCAGAGGCTGAGGCAGGAGAATCACTTGAACCTGTGAGGCGGAGGTTGCGGTGAGCTGAGATCGTGCCATTGCACTCCAGCCTGGGCAATAAGAGCGAGACTCCATCTCAACAACAACAACAACAACAAAAAAAAACAGAAGAAAAAAGGCTCAGTAAACACTTGCTATGCCAAAGTGGTTTCCCTACTGGAAACTATTATATTCTTCAATGGTAATATCCACTGAGAGAACAACCAGACTTTCAGAAATTTCCTAATTTCTCCCCCAATCCGTAAGTATTTTAATACCATGGCTTCCTGAAACAATATTCTAGGTTGTAACTGAAATAAAAGAAAGATCCAGTATTAATGAAATATAAAGTTAATATAGACTAACAGTAATATTCTATGAGACGCTAGTCCTGTTTTTAGCTTTATCTTCTCAATTTACTTTTCATGTTTTATTTTTTGTTCCATTTTTGGCTCAGAAATGCAAAAATTCCGCCAGAGTTGAAAAATATAACTGTTGTGATTCATGTCCCCACCCATCCTTGAAAACACATACTCTAGCTTCATCAAATGGGACTCCAGGGTAATGTGGAGCCCAAGATGTGACAGTTCCCATTTTGCTAAGTTCAATGCTTTAGAAACCTTATTTCTAAAGTCCTATTCCTATCATAAAATTTTACTAACATGAACTGAAACTAATCAGGAGGAAATCTCATTTTGTGAAAAATGAAACTAAGCAAAAAGAACTTTCCGAAATATTTAACAGAATTCTTAATCCAATAAACATGCAGTTTCTAGGGCCTTATACCTGTACTTTATTAACATTCTTTTTTCTTTTTTGAGACAAAGTCTCACTCTATTGCCCAGGCTGGAGTACAGTGACGCAATCTGGGCTCACTGCAACCTCCATCTCCCAAAGTCAAGTAATTCTCATGCCTCAGCCTCCCAAGTAGCTGGGATTACAGGTGTGTGCCACCATACTTGGATAATTTTTTTTTTTTTTTTTTGAGTCGGAGTTTCACTCTGTTGTCAGGCTGGAGGGCAGTGGTACAATCTCGGCTCACTGCAACCTCCGCCTCGTGAGTTCAGGCAATTCTTCTGCCTCAGCCTCCTGAGTAGCTGGGACTACAGGCACGTGCCAGCACGCCCAGCTAATTTTTGTATTTTTAGTAGAGACGGGGTTTCACCCTGTTGGCCAGGATGATCTCGATCTCTTGACCTCGTGATCCACCCACCACAGCCTCCCAAAGTGCTGGGTCTACAGGTGTGAGCCACCGCGCCCAGCCTAATTGTTATATTTTTAGTAGAGATGGGGTTTTACCATGTTGGCCAGGCTAGTATCGAACTCCCAACCTCAGATATCCACCCTCCCAAAATGCTGGGATTACAGGCTTGTTAATTAACATTCTTAGCAGAGTATTCTCCATGTAGAATTTGGTCTCCAAATGAAAATGCATTTGGGGAGTAACAAGGAGAAATTCTTTTTATTTGAAGAGTTAGGGGTTGATCCAGCAGTAGCAAGTCAGCAAGGGAGTAAGATCACAAGTCTCACTCATATTATCACGTGTGGAAGCATCAAAGGCTCAGCCCCCAGCTGTTAAGACAAAAGGCAGTCTATTCCAGCCAGAGCCCTGCCCAAAGGGAAAGCCAGCTATGTGTACTCCACCCTCTGGTGGCTCCATGTTGGGACTACAGTTTTTACTCCACAGTTAAAGTCAAGGACTTAACTGCTCTTCTTACTCAGGCATAACCAGGCAAACACAAATACAGGTTGCTTTTTTATTTTGTTTGCATGGGGCGGGGATGGGGGACTGGAGTACAGTGGTACAATCTTGGCTCACTCCAACCTCCGCCTCCCAGGTTCAAGTGATTCTCCTGCCTCAGCCTCCCGAGTAGCTGGGACTACAGGCGTGCACCACCACGCTTGGCTACTTTTATATTTTCAGTAGAGATGGTTTCACCATGTTGGCCAGGCTGGTCTTGAACTCTTAACCTCAGGTGATCTGCCTGCCTCGGCCTCCGAAAGTGCTGGGATTACAGGCATGAGCCGCCGCACCCAGCCTTAAACACAAATAAGTTTTTAAACTCAGTCCCTCTGCAGTTCAAAAAGAACTCAAAATATGACACTAAGACATCAATACAACTAGGAAAACTTGCTCCAATTTCTACTGACAAAGTGAAGACTATACCGAATTTGATTTTTATTTTCTTTACAGCATTACATAGTGGCAAATATTCTTCATCAAGAATGACCATTTCGGCTGGGCGTGGTGGCTCACACCTGTAATCCCAGCACTTTGGGAGGCCAAGGTGGGTGGATCACTTGAAGCCAGGAGTTCGAGAACAGCCTGACCAACATGGTAAAACCCTGTCTCTACTACGAATACAAGAATTAGCCATACATGGCAGCATGTGCCCATAGTCCTAGGTATTCCAGAGGCTGAGGCAAGAGAATCCCTTGAGCCTGGGTGGCAGAGGTTGCAGTGAGCAAGATTGCATCGTTGTACTCCAGCCTAGGAGACAGAGTGAGACCCTGTCTCAAAAAATAAATAAAAAAGAAAATTAAAAAGAAAAAGAAAAGCGAGTCTAGTGAGCTGAAGACACTTTGCTAGTCTGGATCTTTGTTTGTCTTATTAGCTTAAATTAGCAAGCTTCTATTATTCAGTAGACAAAGAGGTAGGGTGAAAGATACTCAGAAATCTCTCAGTCTGGTCCAATCCTTGTCCAATGTAGAAAAAGCTATGAATCCTCTCATTAGAAAAATATACCTTTAAGGACTACATCCCAGCTACTCAGGAGGCCTGAGGCAAGAGGACTGCTTGAGCCCAGGAGTTCAAAAATAGCTGGGCAACATAGCAAGATCCTGTCTCTAAAAACAAACAAACAAACAAAAGGAAAGAGAAAGAAGGCAGGAGAGAGGAAGGAAGAAAAAAAGGCCAGGTTCAGTGGTTCACGCCTGTAAACCCAGCACTTTGGGAGGCCAAGGCAGGAAGATCATTTGAGCCCAGTAGTTGGAGATCAGTGTGGGAAATGAATAGGGAGACCCCCCATCTCTACGAAAATTTTTTTAAAGAATTAGCCAGGCGTGGTGGCCTGTGCCTATAGTCCCAGCTACTCAGGAGGCTAGGGTGGGTGGATCACTTTAGCCTGGGAGGTCAAGGCTGCAATGAGCCATGATTGTACCACTACACTCCAGTCTGGGTGACAGAGCAAGACCAAGAAGAGAGGGAGAAAGAAGGGAGAGGGGGAGGGAGAGGGGGAGGAAGAGGAGGGAGGGAGAAAGGGGGAGAAGAGAGAGGGAGCAGAGAAAGAAAAAGAAGGGAAAGAAGAAAATATGTATTTATAGAAAATTTTAAAACTTGTTTAAGGATTCATGGAAAATCTTGGGTTTAAAACTTTTTGTCAAGATGATAAATGCTAAGATATAGTTATTATTTTGAAAGGCATTATAATTTCTTTTAAAAGGGTACATAAAAGTACAATTCCTTTAAAATTACTCAATTTTGTTTTTGTTTTTTTGTTTGTTTGTTTTTTTTTGAGACAGTCTTGCTCTGTCACCAGGCTGGAGTGCAGTTCTGCAATCTCAGCTCACTGCAACCTCTGCCTCTTGGGTTCAAGTGATTCTCCTGACTCGGCCTCCTGAGTAGCTGGGACTACAGGTGTGTGCCACCATGCCTGGCTAATTTTTGTATTTCTAGTAGAGATGGGGTTTCACCATGTTGGCCAGGATGGTCTTGATCTCCTGATCTCATGGATCCGCCCACCTTGGCCTCCCAAAGTGCTAGGATTACAGGCGTAAGCCATCGTGCCCAGCCCTTATTTTTTAAAATTACTAAAATATATGTTGTTTTAAACATGTCTACATATACAGTTCAGCTTTCTACCTTTTTTCTGAAAAGACTAGGAAAAATCAAGAAACAACACAATTCCAGAACCAAGAAAATACTCAACATTAATACTGCAGTAAGCAGAATAAAGTACATGAAAACCACCTGCCCTTATATTGATTATATTCAAGTGAGGTATCACCTGAGAAAGAGGCACAAGTGAGCCTACTGGCGTGCTGGAAAAGGTAAAAGTATGTAATAGTTTCAAGGGAATATATATGTAAAAATTCATTAAGATTTGTGCACATTACTGTAATACTTCAAAAAAATTTTGTTAAAACCTAAGCTTTCCAAATTGACACTGAGCAAAGTAATTAATTGCTCTAAGTTTAATCTATAAAATGAATAAACCTCTCCTAGAGTTACTGTGAGAACTGAATAAGGTTACCACATGTATTTAGTACAATGCTAGATGCACAGTATCAATTAGTGTCAGTCTACTATATCACTACTACAGATGGTAGATTATGACTTTTATCGACATGAAATATCTTTATCTGGTTTAAGGACAACCATGATAAACTATGGGCATTCCCCAGGCCAACAGATGCACATCCTACATGTTCCTTTAAACAGGGTGTGTATGTATACTAATTCATTCCATGGTATGTATGTAACAGAACTTATTCAACTATTCCACAAGTAAGGAAAATTCAGGTTATTTCCTTTTTTATCTTTAGAAATAAAGTTACAGTGAATATCCTTGCCCCTACATTGTTTCTTCTGTTATTTTTATGTCTAAAACAGATTACCAAATAAGTTCTTAAGGTTCTTTCAAATATAAAACGTCAGTCTCAAATAAGTGATTGCCTACCCAAACACTAAATATAAAAACAAACAGGGTATTGTCACAAATGCTAGAGACAGGACTACCTGAAGGTAAAACCTTGTAGATTCTAAACTTATATATCAAATGAAAAGGTAGAAATAAGTTATTCTTCCACATTTCAGAATATTAATCACATGTAAAAGTCTAAAATCTATTGTTCTTTCCAAAACTTCCGGAGTAAAAATTCTATTTAATGACAGAAAAACAAATACTATATACTCTTAAGTGAAGAGATGCATAATTCTAATTTTTTGAAAGGAAACGTACATACATTCAAGAAACAGACCAAAAAGCTTAATTAGTCAATTTTTGGCATTATCCCTTCACATATTTCCCAGTTTTTCTACAATGAGCATATAACAGTAAAAATGTTCAAAAAATTTTTTTAAATCAGAATTCAACATGCTTTCAGTATATGTATCCAACAAATTAATTCCTACATTCAAAGTACTTTTGTTTACAGCGGTAAGTCACATCAGCCTGTGCCCAAACTGCAAAGAGCAATCTCTCCTCTTTCCAAAGATAAACTGAGCCGGGTGCAATGGCTCACGCCTGTAATCCCAGCACTTTGGGAGGCTGAGGCAGGCAGATCACTTAAGGTCAGGAGTTCGAGACCAGCCTGGCCAACATGGTGAAACCCTGTCTGCTAAAATTATACAAAATTAGCTGGGTGTGATGGTGGGTGCCTGTAATCCCAGCTACTTGGGAGGCTGAGGCACGAGAATTGCTTTAACCTGGGAGGCGGAGGTTGCAGTGAGCCGATATCTCGCCACTGCACTCCAGCCTGGGCGATAGAGCAAAACTCAGACTCAAAAAAAAAAAGTACCCCTACATCTCCGTTTTCCCTCCTTCCCCACCATCTCTTTCATATCACTGAAATGTAACACTCTGACATAAACTACAAACAAGATATAGAAGATAAAATGTGATGTTGTTTATTTAGCCACAGACTCCATCCTGGTGCAGCTTAAGTCTATTTTCAGCACAGAACTGCTTCATGTTCAAAATCCAGGTTCCTTGCTAGCTGGACTTCTGATTCATTCTCAAGTTCCATATTGAAATCACTGGCCCTAAAAATAACTGACTTTCTTTCCTACTTGCTAGTCCTTTGGATTATGTCTTTAAAAATCCTGTAATAAATCTTCCTCCTCAGACCCTCTTTAACACAAATCAATTTACACAAACTGTACTTCAGCTGCTCACAGTAAAATTCCTATAATTTTCATTAAGTTGTAAAATTTAAGAAAAGAACCTAATTTTTAATTATTACCAATAATCTAGGCTACAATGCCAAAATATTAGTTTGTATTTCTGTAAATTCTTACATGTCAAATGTGACATAGCCAAACTAACCTTGGTTCAAATAAGTAAGCGTTTCATCATGCAGTTTTACTGCTGGCGACGTTGCGGCACACATCACATACTGAAAGGGTGGGTGCTCTGTTTCACCATCCAGTGGAAGGCTGGAATCTTCCTGCTTGAAAATGGGCAATGCCAAGACATCACTGAAAAGCAAAAAATCAACACTGACCTTACTTTGGGTTTGAAATATTTGTCTATGGCCATATCATCCTGAATGCGCCCAATCTTGTCTGAAATATTTAAAAGCATATAAACATTTAGGGATAGTTTTTGTTTTTTTTAATTTAAGATCAGAAATTATATGTACAATAAAAGAACTATTAATGCTATGTGTGGTTCACCTAAAGGATGGCATTAACCACCCCTATCTCAGGGTGGGAAGTGGGGGGGGCAGCAGGGCAGCTCTAAAAATATATATATATATATATGGCACTTTAAAAAATTCTTTTAAAATTTTAAGGTCCAGATTCATTCTATTAAAAAAAAGCAAGTCAAGAGTACATAGCTACCCGATTTGAAAGGCAAGAAATAATACTACTGCCAAAGATAGGTCACATTTGACAGCACCGAATCACAAAGAAGCATTTGATTAAAATGGGGCTTGACAAAAAGTTCCCTGCTGTGCCTTGGCAAGTGCTAAGAACATAAAGCTTCACGCCTAGTCTAAAACAATGGCTCCTTCTGAGAGGTAAACAGTAGCAGCAGCAACAGCTGCTATTCTTCCCCCAAGAATAATCTGGGGTCCTGACTGGGAGAGTGATGAGGGGTCTTTTGGGACACTGTCCATACTGGATATGTTTAACAGCTTTATTGAGATAAAATTTACATGCCATAAAGTCACCCTTTTAAAGTTTGTAATTCAGTGGTTTTAAGTATATTCACATCATCAGTATCTAATTCTTGAATTCCAAAATATTTTCTCCCCTCAAAAAGAAATCCCATACCCATTAGCAGTCACTCACCATACTATCTCAGACCCACTCAGCCCCTGGCAACTTTCTATCTCTACGGATTTGCTATTTGGGACATTTAAATGGAATCATATGACTATGTGGTCTTTTGTGACTGGCTTCTTTCACTTGGTATGTTTCATAGACCACCCATGTTCTAACATGTACCAATGCTTCATTCTTTTTTATGGCTCCATTCCATTGTATAGACATACCATATTCTGTATCCATTCACATCATGGCCATCTGGGTTGTTTCCATTTTTCAGCAATTATGAATAATGCTGCTATGAACACTTTTCTATGTTTTTGTGTAGATAAATTCTGCTAAGTATATACCTAGAACTGGAATTACTGGATCACACTGTAACTCTGTTTAACTTTATTTCTTTTACTTATTTTTTTGGAGACAAAGTCTCTCTTTGTCACCCAGGCTGGCGTGCAGTGGTGCTCTCTTGGCTCACCACAACCTCTGACTCCTGGGCTCAAGTCATCCTCATGCTTCCGCCTCCCAAGTAGCTGGGATTAGAGGCATGTGCCACCACACCCGGCTAATTGTATTTTTAGTAGAGACGGGGTTTCACCATGTAGGCCAGACTAGTGTCAAACTCCTGGCCTCAAGTGATCTGCCTGCCTCAGCCTCCCAAAGTACTGGGATTACAGGCATGAGCCATCACGCCCGGCCTCTGTTTAATTTTGTGAGCAACTGCCAAACTGTTTTTCAAAGTGGTTGCAATCATTTTACATTTCCCCTATTAATGTATGGAGAGTGATTATTTGTTTTTAAGATAATTACCTGAGCTGTACATTTGTATCTTAACTTTTCTATACTCATTCTTCAATAAAAGGTAGAATAATAACAGTAGCAACAACAAAACATCCAAACGAATAACTACTATATCAACACCAATAATAGGGACTTGTCTGAACTGCTTATTTTATCTTTTTTTCCTACAAGCTGTTCACTCAGATACTTGAGTAGCCAGGTCAATTCAATTCAATTCAATTCAAAAACAGAATGTGAAAGCAAGTGAAATGGGATGGAAACCCTCGGAGAGAACGTTATCCCACCAGTAGTCCCTACTCCCCACATGCATTTCTGCACTGTGCTGATTTTCTTTGGTTTTTTTTTTGTTTTTTTTGTTTTTTTTTGAGACAGAGTCTCGCTCAGTCGCCCAGGCTAGAGTTTAGTGGCGCGATCTTGGCTCACTGCAAGCTCCACCTCTCAGGTTTACGCCATTCTCCTGCCTCAGCCTCCCGAGGAGCTGGGACTACAGGCGCCCGCCACCACTCCCGGCTAAGTTTTTGTATTTTTAGTAGAGACGGGGTTTCACCGTGTTAGCCAGGATGGTCTCGATCTCCTGACCTTGTGATCCACCCACCTGAGCCTCCCAAAGTGCAGGGATTACAGGCGTGAGCCACTGCGCCCAGCCGCTGATTTTCAAAGATACTAACTATCCACTAATTCTCCCTTTCTTATTTATACCCAGGAATTGTCAAAACACTCCTAGGTACACAAGTAATAACCAAGGATCACATGGTTAGCAGTGGTCCCCAACACTCCCATAGAGTTCTCACAACACCTTGACCTAGGGATTTTGCCCCATCTAAGCTCCTGCCTTGGGGGCAGATACAACAAAACAAACAAACAAAAAGAATCAGATCACCTCTTTATAAAAAGAGGTCATAATAGTCAAATTGGCTCCAGGGAAGATGAAAATATATATTGCATTTTATGTGTATGCAAGCATTTAAAACCCTCTCAGGGAGAAAGAAAACAAGAATGAGATAAGAGTTGTGACTCTGAACCATTAATTACACTGAAAAATAACACAGGGAATAATTTTAACATTTCAATGCTAACTGCTTGGGTTGGGTTGATCATTAGATACAGATCATCAAAATAAAATGTATAACTGCATGAGAATGGCTTTTTATAAATAAATTGTTACATATGGAAGACACAATTTTATATACTTCAGATCCTAGAAGACAACCACCTTTTTATTCACTTGGTTATAGTCTCGATGATCCACACAGAAAATAGTATGCTCATGGTAAGTGCTAAACAACTCCTGAACAAACATATAAACACATAAAGATCATCTGCTATTGAATTTCCAATTAATTTTTTACTTAATTAGAAAGAAAATGCCTTCTAGTCAACACAGCAACCAGTGATCCTTTTCAAACAGAAGTTAAACCATTTCAGTTCTCTGAACCCTTCCATCAGCTCACTTTCAACCAAAGTCCTTACAAAATCCTACAAAGTCCTATGCAACCTGCTCTTCATCCCCTCTTCTCGTCACCCTCATTCCCCCTGCTCCAACTACCCCGGCCTCCTGGTTCTACTCTTCTACTGGATATCATAATGGCTCATTTCATTCAAATGTCATCTTTTCAGTGACAACATGACACTGGAGTCTTCCCACCCACACTCCCAATTTCCCTACCCTAGCTCTATACGCAGCTCTTACCACTTTCCAACAATATACATGACTTACTAAGTTTGTATCTGCCATAAGCACGTAACTCCAAAAATGTGTTTCTTCAATGACTGATGCCAGCATCTAGCACAAAGGAGCTCAAATACTTGCTGAATCAATGAACTGATTGCTGCATTAATAATCAACCAATTAGTATTAAGATTGAAAACTAGGTCTCCAGACAAGATTATAATTTCTACTATGTTGAAAGTGCTAAAACCTTGATGGTTTTTGTAATCCCATAAATGGAAACACATTTTTGAGTACTAAAGACAGAATGTTAAACAGAACTAAAAGAAGTAGGGTTTCTTTTTTTTTTTTTTTTAAGACAGAGCGTGACTCTATCTCCCAGGCTAGAGGGCAGTGGCATGATCATGGCTCACTACAGCCTCAACCTCCCACCACAACCTCCCAAGTAGCTGGGATTACAGGCATGCACCACCATGCCTGGCTAATTTTTGTATTTTTAGTAAAGTGGGGTTTCCCCATGTTGGCCAGGCTGATTTTGAACTCCTGGCCTCAAGTGATCCACCCGCCTCGGCCTTCTAAAGTGCTGGAACTACAGGCATGAGCCACTGCGCCAGGCCCAAATGATGCATTTTAAAAGGCAAAACTGAAAGATCTACATGTCGGCAAATTTTAACGTAGCTTAGCACCAAAAATCAGGATGCTGGCCGGGCGCGGTGGCTCCAGCCTGTAATCCCAGCACTCTGGGAGGCCGAGACGGGCGGATCACGAGGTCAGGAGATCGAGATCATCCTGGCTAACACGGTGAAACCCCGTCTCTACTAAAAAATACAAAAAGCTAGCCAGGCGAGGTGGCGGGCGCCTGCAGTCCCAGCTACTCAGGAGGCTGAGGCAGGAGAATGGCGTAAACCCGGGAGGCAGAGCTTGCAGTGAGCTGAGAGCCGGCCACTTGCACTCCAGCCCGGGCGACAGAGCGAGACTCCATCTCAAAAAAAAAAAAAAAAATCAGGATGCTAAAAAAGACCTGGAAATCACAACAAGCTTGATTACATGAAGTATAAAAATCTACTAGGTCACCTAAAAATCCAGCAATGTAAGCTGCCTTCAGGGACGTCAAATTAATGACTGCAAGACCCTACTGTGAGGCAAGACTGCATTGTACACCCTCTCATAGCCTTTGAATATAATTATATGAATGGATGTACTAATTTTCAAAAACAGTGAAAATTTGAATTTTTTTTAAGGACAAGATAGATAAAACATATGGAAGCTAAATAAGAATTCTAAGGAGACATGAAAGAAACTAAATAGAAAAAAACAACATAGAGAACTGACTGTTCAGTAACGGCAGGCTAAGTAATGTAAACGAACCTATACCCCATCCACCCTCACTGAGAACAGGGGAAAAAAAAGTTGTCAGAGAACACATATATTCTTAAAAGTATTGAAGAACTAACAAGATAAGGAAACAGGCCAAAATCTGAAAAAGTGCAGTAACTCCAAGCAAGCCTAGAACTGAAAGTGGCTTTTACCTACCCAACCTGAGGAAAGAACTGCAAAGCTGTACTGTAGTTTTAGTGGCCTTATGGGTGTAGGATACAGCCAACCACATTAAACCGGAACGGAAACAGCTAAATGCACAGGGTAAGGGTGAAGAGAAAGTACTGGTTAGTGTCTCCAGCATGGTCCGGGGAACCACTGACAGGTAGGGCTCCCAGGGGTCTGACAAGCAAGTGAAAAG